CATGAAAGAATTGTCTGTTTCTACCATTCCCTGTGAGTCTCAATGAAAAAAAAATATGCTTCACTTCCTACACAGCTTCCTGTCCAGAAGGCCTGGTTGGATGTGATGAAGGGAGATGCATCCCAGAATCTCTGATGTGTGATGGGGAAGCAGACTGTGCAGATGGCACCGATGAACCCACCACATGTGGTAAGAAACCAGTTGCTTAGCTTAAGGTGGGAGGTGGGAAATAGGCTTAAACAGCGGACCTGCGATAGTTACCATGGAGGTCTACTCTTTGAGAGGCTGCTTGGACTAAATCTCACACGTATCAAGGATGGATCCTTTTATCAGTTATAGCCCCTGGCTTTGGTCTTTCAAGTGTGAGCATATATTATCTAAGCTATCAAACTTTGAGGGCTAATTCTCATTTTGTAGCTTTAGCTAAACACTTCTAACTGTATTGCTTTTGAAATTCTGGTAGAAAGCCAAGATTATGTCTTTGAATGTCTGTAGCTTTGTTATGAGAACAAGGCCCACACATTCAATTTAGGCTTAAATATCTATAGTGGTGTTCTCAAACCAGACTGATGCAGAGATTCTGCTACAAGGACCCCTCCCTGGAAGACCCCAGGGCACACAACTACTTGTATATAATCAACTAGTCCAGTTTTTTTTTTATGCTTAGGGATTTTTTAAGACTCAAGTCAACTTTGCAAATTGAGTACAAAGAAAATGACAAACCTGTAGAAGACAAGTTAACCATTTGGCACATGTCATGCTGATTGAGAACCAGATCATTTTGTTTAAGACAAAAACATAAAATTCTCTAAGGATTTAATGGAGACTGGACTCCTGTGGCTACTGAGAAGCAGCTTTGACTTGAGAACAAGTCCTGGTTCTCACCACAAGAATCACTGTGGTTCAGGTTCCCAGGGAAAGGAGAATGTGGGAGTCTCTCTCCAAGTCTTTTTGTCATCTGTCTCCTAGTTACTTCCCAAATATGGTCTTACATATATATGACAAAACCTCTTTAGTACTGTAAAATTCTGCCAAACAAATTTTGTACTAAAGGAAAATGGATTAGAGATGTTAAAGGCGGGGGAGAAGTTCAGTAGATTAGACAATGGGTAATGGAAGGAAAGGAGGGAGAATAGGAACAGGAAAGTGGAATGAATCTGACACGATTTTCCTATACACATATATGAAAACGTCACAGTGGGTCCCACCAAAATGTACATCTACAAGAATGGGGTCCTAACTCGAATGAGATCTAGTCCATGCTTGCATAATTGTATCAAAATGAGTTCTACTATCATGTATAACTAAAAAGAACCAATAAATTTTAAAAGATGCTAAAAGCATAAACAGTGGGACAAAGTATAGGCTTCTGGTTGTACATGGATGATAATTCAATAGGATTCATAAGCCAGTATATCACTTCCTGAGGTAGGGGTCTCACGGACTCATGCATTCCAAAAAATCATTGATAAGAGGTCTCTGGTTCCCTGAGCAAGAATAATAAATAACACCAGCACTTGAAATCATTCACACTGTTGGCCTGGAAAGAAATTCCTGCTCCCTGGCTCCTGGGATTCCTATCTTTTGCTCTTCCACACTCCTCTCTGAAGGGTCCCTGTTCCTAGGCCAGAGGGCAGGGTCAGAGGGCAGGGTCAAAGGTCAGTCACAACTGGTCATCACTTGCTCAACCAGGCCTAGAAGGTATGTGCACAACACAGTTTATAAATATTGGTTCAGCATTCAACTGTTTGAACTACTTCCTGTCTCCACCAGGTAAAAACTGCTCTGTGATGAACGGTGGCTGTGAAGGCCAGTGCAGTGACACACACTGGGGTGTCCGGTGTTCCTGCAGGGCAGGATGGTGGTTGCAGCCCGACGGGCAGAGCTGTGCAGGTCAGAACTGGTTTGAATCAACTTTTTAAAACATTTTTTTAATGCAGTAAAATGCATTTAATGTAAATTTTGCCATTTTAACCATTCTTAAATGTACCATGTGATTTTCAAACATATGCTGTTGTATACGTGCACCATGTTGTGCAACCATTACCATCTCGGATTTCCTGAGCTGCTTATCATCCCCAGTAGAGACCATCCCCGTTAAACAACAACTCCCCTCCCCCTATTCCCTGGTAACTAACTTGTCCATTCTAGATACCTAATTTGTCCATTCTAGATACCTCTCATAGGGAGAATCATATAGTAATTGTGCTTTTGTGTTTGTCTTATCCCGTGGAGCATAATGACTTTAGGGTTCATCCATGTTATAACGTATGTCAATAGCATGCATCAGGATATCTGTCCTTTTTAAGGCTGAATACACATATACTACATATGGTGTCCGACTACTGGTAGATAATCACCAGTAGTTGTTTCTTCCTTTTGACTGTTGCAAAGAATACTGTATGAACGTTGCCGCAGTCTGGCTGGGCACAAAATCACGAGCCACTCAAGCAGGAACAAACTTTAGTTTTTGAAACTGCCTCCAATGTCCGGTACGCGCCCGGGAAGATTTTTTTATCCACCCACGCGGCCACCTCTCGGAACCGCAGCGAGCACTCCTCCCCCGGAACTCCCTCCTACTGTACTTCCCCAACCAATGGAAACTCTCCAGGAGTCCTGTAGCCAGCCTAGGTGAACAGCAGGAATCCAATATCCATATGAATGCAAATCTTAACATAATCATATCATCTCAATGGCTAGCTGGCGTCACCTTTCGACCAAAAATGCCATGCATCATATACTTGGCTCTTAGCAGAACGTGATACGCAAATATCTGTGTGATAATTCCATTTGCTGGGTATATACCAGAAAGTGGACTATAACTGGATCATGTATACTTGTTTGATTTTTTGAGGAGTCCTCAAACTGTTTTTCCACAGTGGATGCACCACCAGTAGTGCACAGGGTTCCAGTTTCTCCACGTTCTTGCCAGTGCTTGTTAATGTCTCTTTTGTGGGAATTGCAGGGCATCTGATGCCAAACAAGAAAGTGTTAAACTTAATGTTCTTTCCCTGTGGAGCTTAGAGGATTTCTGTCACAGAATAAATATGCTTGTCATTTTACAGTCATGCCTAAGGTCCATAGCATGGGTTTCAAGACAGAATCTGAAATTCCAGCCCATTGTATGTTTACCCTTGCTTGTTCCTGCTGGTTGACCTTCTCCAAGTCACTGGAGAAGACTCATTTCTTCTCTTTGTAAATGGGATTATGGTGCCACAATAGCTAAAATAAATTTCATATACCTTCATTATTCAGTAATAATTTAAAAGATTATGACTATTACCCTATAGCACCTGTCTACAAAAATAAAGATAACGCTTTAGGATAAAATGTGATTGGAAGGGTAAAGGATCTATTGTTTTGGTGCTCTGGACTGAGGGATTAATCAGCCCTTCCACCCTAAACCTGGTCAATGATCCCTACTCAATAGTGCCCTCTCTCCATGACTGTACCTTCCTGTAGCTCTACCCACTTGGGAAGGCTACAAGAGAAAAGACTGGTTTATTAGTATTAAATAGTATTTTTTAGAGAGTATAAAGGCTTTTGTATTAGCAATTCATTCATGATTGTTATAACTCTATTAGATTTTCAATTTATTAATGTTAAAATTTAATCATTAAATTCAATTTACTAATTCAGGAGATAATTTAACAGATTAATTCATCATTAGAAATATGAAATCAGCATCTGGTCATGGCTCTTAGAAGTGTCTGGGTTTTGTGCCCCCATCCCCGAGCCCCTGGAGTACCCTTCTTGGGTTTCCAGCCCACTATAGGACTTGGATGGCCCTTGAGCCTGACTGTTGCTTATTCTTCTGGCATGATGGGAAAACATTATTCTACTTTAGGACCCGGTGGGTTTGGAGCAATAACGTTTTTGCATCAATTCTGCCAAGGAACCATTTTCCTTCTTGCTTACAAAATAAAGAAATGAATCTCTCCTGATTTTGTGATTTCAGCTCTAATGGGTCCCAGCCATTAGGCGTTGAGATACTATTGCACCATAACTAAATTTCGCCAGTTAGACCTGTGAGGCTTAAGCATTTCCCATGGTGCTAGCAGTGAACTCCAGGATGTAACACTTGTCATTCTCAAATGGTACCTCAGGAACATTGCTAGGATAACAGTATTCTGTAGTCAAACGTTTGTGGTCCCAATGTTGAAATTTCCTAAATTGTATTAATGTAGGTGGGAAATCATTGGTGGCCAGCGTGGACTATTCTAGGGCCTGGAACAATGATTTCCACCAAATGCCCAACCAGGTAGCATCTGGAAAGTGGCTCCAAAGGGCAAAAATACTGCAGAGCTTGTTCCTGGATTGCCTCTAACTTATGACCCTCTGTCATCAGATATAGATGAATGCTCTATGGTGTTCAGTCCTTGTGGCCAGCTATGTCACAATACACCAGGCTCTTACTCCTGTGACTGTATTCAAGGTTACCAACTGAACAATGGGACTGAATGTCGAGTTACAGGTGAGTTTCAATACCAGAAGCAAAGCCTAGCTCCTGTGCTATTCTTAGCAGTAATTGCAGGGGAAAGTGACATAGAGAATTCATTTTTAAGTCTAGTACTAGAGATGACTCCATTATTTCCAAAAAGGAGCTACCATTATACCATTCATTCCCCAACCTGAGTGTCAATTGTATTAACTAACTTGGTTACTCCACAGTCTACTATGGAGTATTCTACAGACCCAACACATAGTCTTGACTTGCCCTGTTCTTTAGAGATAAAACACTAAATTACATTTGACTACTATGTACCAGACTTGGACAGAACTTCTGCCAAATCTGGTACAAGGTGAGAGAAGAGGAACTGAATCTGAAATCCAATAAGGCAGTGAAGTTCTCAAGGTTAGTTTCAATGTATTAGAGTTCAGAGGAGGGAGGGAGCACCAAGGTGACCCACTAGATCTCTAAATACTTAGTCCAGAGTTTAGGAATAGGTAGATTTGGGGCATGAGAGATGGGATAAATCTTTAAAGGGAAATGTGTGAGGCAAAAAGCTTCATCTCTATTGTCTTTTGTTTTCAGATGATGGTATTAAAATTCTTATAGCAAGAGATCAAGAGCTTGGTTTCCTGGATCGAAGAACAGGCAACTATGAGACTCTGATTCCTATAAAATCAAGGCCCATTTCTATTGCATATGACCTTGAGAGAAGCACATATATCTGGGTAGATGAAGTCCTAAATGTGTTTGTCCTTGGGAAACCAAACTCTGTTCCCCTTTACCCAGGTATATATATACATTTTTAAATTTTTTTGTAGTTGTAGATGGACAGAATGCCTTTATTTTATTTGTTTATTTTTTTATATGGTGCTAAGGATTGAACCCAGTGCCTCACACAAAGGAGGCAAGCTCTCTGCCACTGAGCTACAGCTCCAGCCCCCAGGTATACTTTTTGGCATTAAGAGCCTTAACTTCTTAAAGCTACTTGTGTTAGTTAACTTTGCATTATTGTAACAAAATACCTGAGATAATTAGTTTAAAAAGAGGAAAGGTTTATTATGGTTTCCACTTTGGGAGATTTCAGTCTATGGTTAATTGGTCCCATTGCTTTTGGATCTGAGGTGACTCATCATATAGTGAGAGTATGTGGGTGGTGGGGGAAACTATTTACCTCATGGTACCAGGAAGTAAAGGGAGATGAGAAAAGACTAGCATCCCACTATCCCCTCAAGGTTATGCCCCAATGACTTAAACCTCCCACTAGTGCCCACCTCTTACCTGTTTCCATTGCCTTCCAACAGTGCCACAGGCTGGGGACCAAGCCTTTAACACATGGGCCTTTGAGGGACATCCCAGATCCAAACTGTAGCCCTACCCCCTAGTGTAAGAAGTATGTGTATCCATCTGTACCACCACCTGCGAGACACCTGTCATGAAGTCTGGTTTCAGATAAGGCTGCTATGGTTTAAGTCCATAGGAGCATCTTAGAATGTAACTTGCAACATGAATTGGAATGTAGCCTCAGGCCACAGTTAGTCTCAGGGCCCCATCACTAGGTATGTCACCTTGGGCAAGTTCTTAACTCCTTTGATTGCTTTCCATAAGATGAGGGTGCTACTACTTGCCTCACTGGGTAAGTTTGGGAATTAAATTAGACAATGCATGTGAAGAGGGCTTGGTGTAATGCTAGGGATATAGAAATGGTCTGGGGGCAATTCAGAGGTAGCATTTGTAACAACTTGCCTGACACTTGTGCAAGAACTTTTGCCTAAACTCAGGTCACTTACAGGCTCTCAGATTTCTTAGTTAAGCTTCTGCTCTGGTCCTCCTCCTTCCCTGCCACCCCTGCATGTTGGAAGCACCTTGGCTCATCCCTGGTCCTTGATCCTTGCCATCTATTTGCCTCACTGTATAATTCAAAATCAGAAAACGTAGTAACGTGTGTCCAAGTCTCTGCAAGGTAAGACGGGTGGAGAATGTGGGAACATAAAGCTGTCTCCTCTGTCCCCAGAGCTCACAGCGGTGAATAGCATCTCCTTGGACTGGTCCACAGGACAGTTGTATTGGGCTAGCAGCTTTGCAAGGGTCATCTGTGCTGGCTTAAGTGATGGCAGAGGCTATGTCAAAATTTTGGAAAAGGATCTTGTGCCAGAGCAGCTGGTTGTGTTTCCTGAAAAGAAGTAAGTAGTGTTTCTTTGGAAGTATGTCCTAAATCACTGATGACTTAGGATATTTAAGTTAATAAGGGAACATGTCAGTCTTTTTCAACTTGGATTTCATTGGCTCCCCCTAATTCTTAATTTTGAATCCTAAATTGAAGTTTATGGAGCTAGTGTTTTCAAAGCCTAGTGAGTGTAGGAGCAGAAATCTCTAGCGATCATCAGCAATATAATGATGAGAGACCAGTACAAGAAAGCTATGCGAGCCAGGCTGTTCAGAGTTAAGTACACATGTGTGCAAGTGAAGGGGCCCTAACACCATGCACCCCTGTTCTTAGGTACTTGTATTGGGTGAATCGAGGTGGGACAGGCGTGAGGGCTGTTGAGTCTGCAGGCATGGATGGCTCTGACAGGAAGGTGCTCACTGTCCTAACCACAGAGGAGCCTTTAGGACTGACGTTGGACCATGTGACTGGCAGGCTCTACTGGATCAGTGAACACAAAAAGGTACCACACTTAGGTCCAGAGAGAAAGGTAAACTTTTGATGGGAACTTGGTTTGACTCCACAGGTAAGTACAAAATTCTCTTTAAGTTTGCATCTACTCTATGAAGTACCTTCTGGCCACAAAAACTGAGAAGAGCCAGATGCACAGCACCTTTGGGTGGAAGAGACTATATCAACCTGGCTTGGGGGAGAGAGGTGATTTTCTTCAACTCTATAGTCAAACACTATTGGAATTTTCTGGAAGCACTGGTCCTGTTCTGTGTTGTAGCCCGCACACAGGATCTTTTAGGATTGCTGACTACATCCTTGAAAGCATACAGTTCTGGGCTACTTGTGTTTCATACTTAGAAATGCCAAACTAAAAGACCAGTCAAATTTTAGGCCTATTATTTCCTACCTGTGATTTTGGTTAAATTAAAATTTTGGTGCCTCTTTTTGCTCCCATGGCTCCTGCCCACATCCTGCACAGGTGGTGGAAATGGGGTTCCCCTCAGTGGAATGGGCTGGCTGAGAAATAAAAGCTAGGGAAAAAACAGAATGGCTAAAAAAACCCACACAGAACACAGAAAGTAGTTTCAAAAGCAGGGGCAGGATGGGCAAGCCAATTAGACAGATCGAGGTTCTGGCAAAATGCAGCCTGCGCCTGCTTTATTTATATCGGGAGACATCAAAGGCCTTCCACGGAATGTTCTTCTCCAAAAAAAAAGGTTAAAGTTAGGCTGTTCAGCTCCTAATGGGTTACACCCATCCCGGAGTTACTATGAGAAACCTGCCTAGCAGAGTGGAGGGAAGGTCACGTGCATTGGGCCACCTAATGCCAGGCCTACCTCTCCCCGGGCTACCACGCCAAGAGAAGGCCCTCATGTATGTCACGGATGGCTTCCCACACATGGCCCTTGCTGAAAAGAGAGAGGATCCCTACTCAATAGGCAGCACACAGTGGAGTTGAAAGGGTTTGGTACAGTGTCAGTTTGGACAGTAAGCTGTGGCTTGGGGCAAAGTGGAACCCTCTCTCCAGCATCCCTGGGGAACTGGAAGTTCTCTGGAAACTGGGTTAAAAATTTCACTGGAGGCCGAAGTGTTTGTATCTGTGGCCCCAGTTTGTACAAGAAGCAATCCAATCTGCTGACTGGCATTAGTCTCCATGAATCCTTCAACGATCTCTTCTCTGTGAAGCTGATGTTACCTAGACATGTTTAATCAGTGTCCAAAAAACTGGTGACACTTAACTTTGTCAGCACTGGTAATGCTACCACGTTCTCATGAGATTCTAATGCTTCCTCCAGTCCATAGAGACAGTGAAAGTGGATGGAAGCGGGAGGTACACCTTTCCTGAGATCTTCCTGGAAGATGAAAACCCAGTAGGACTGGCTGTCTTTGAGAACTCTTTCTTCTGGGCAAATAAGACACAGCTGTTTCATACCTCACCCCACAGCCCAAAGGAGAGAGAGCTGTTACTGGATGCCTCTGTATCTGCTTTCTTGGTCCTCCACAAGTCCCAGCAGCCTAAGGGTAAGTAAATGGCTTGCTGTAGAAATGCTGAGGAATCGGAATGCATAAGAGTGAAACCACCCAATAGTGCTAGATGGTGGTTGTTGGAACTCAGTACTTGGAGGCAGGGAAATGTTCTGGGTGTCCTTCCAGACTTCCTTACATAGGACTTCTAAGGAAGGTGAACCAAACACCAGTATCTATTGGGGAAATCGGTCCAAGTATGTGTCTTGTGCCTGTCCAAAGCATTAGCTAGATTTTTTAAGCCATGAAATGTAGAAAAAAGGATAATAAGTTGTTCACAGAGGGCTGGGATGGCGTACTCACAGATCTTTGAATAAAACAGAAAATTGAACAAATCCTGGTATCCTCATAATAGGAAAAGTCAACTTAGAGAACGCTTCTTAAATGGATCTGAGAAGCTAACCAAAGTAGAGCCTAGGCCACTCAGGGAGTCTGGAAGTAAGCAAGGCAGACAGTCATGTTGCCTTGACTCCAAGGAGGAGATGCTGCTGGTGGAAGCCTAAGGTCCCAGCCTAAGATAGATAAGTGACTGTCACTATCTGAAAGACCATCAAGAGATCAGAGGAGTTTAAAGGTCAGCACATCCAATTAGAAGGTAACTAGTATATTGAATTCCTCTTAAGACAAAAGTGGCTTAACTGTTCTTCCTTATTAAGTTTTGATCTAGTGTGGATAAGGACATCTGAAACCATCTCACGGGTTCCTGTTTTATAGCAGGCAGACACCCAGCTTGTGCTCCAGGCTCCTGCAGCCACTTATGCCTTCTGTCTCCTGTCCACCCCAAGGGCTATAAGTGTGTTTGTCCTGAAGGAATGTTTCTTTCACCTTCTGGCACATGTAGTGGTAAGTACATTGGGTAAAATGGGCTCAGCTTAAGGAGGCATCCTCCATGGTAGCCTGGAAATAAGGTAGCTTCCATTTCTCAATCAGTTGCTTTTGTCCTTGACAACCTTCTTTGATGACTACTTTTTTATCAAAACAACTTGATTCATTTTTTCCTTTCGATTGTGCTAAAAAATATACAGAATAGAGAACTTAGCATTTTAGTCATTTCTAAGTGGCATGAAGTACAACCATCACCACCGTCCACCTCCAGAACTATTTCATCTTCCCGAACTGAAAACCCTTAACCCACTAGATGTCCCCATTCTCCTCTCCCTAACAGTTCCTTTCAACTACCATTCTGTATTCTGACTGTATGAATTTGCCTATTTTAGGTATCACATTAAGTGAAATTACAGTATATTTATCTTTCGGGTCTGCCATCTTTCACTAGTTACTATAAGTGTTTCATTCACAGTGTAGCAAGTGTACATTCTTTCTAAAAGTTGGATGATATTCCAGTGTGTGTACGTACCATATTTCATTTATTTTTCCATCTGTTGTTGGACAATTAGATTTGATAAACTTTAAATCAAGCTTTACATGAAAACTTGCAAAAGAGGTGATCTAAGAAATCCTTGATAATCTTATGACCATTCTATATTCTGACTCATGTTTATAAGTAGTCTCTACCGCATTATTGTTTTACTTAAATATCGTCAACATGAGTTCTCCAGGTTGCTGTTTCCTCTTCAAAATATTAAAGGCGACATAAAATCCATTGAACTTCTCTATCCAACTTACTCTGTTTTTTCCTTAGAATATTGAGGTTTTAAGGATAAATTACATAAATGTAATTATGTTCTGAGTTTTATTTTATTTATTTATTCTAACTAAGTTTTAAAAATGCTGTTACAGGGACAGCTCTGAAAGACATCATGTGTAATAAGCTGTAGTGGCAAACTCATTAGCCTGAATTTCATTTGAAGCCATATATATATATATATATATATATATATATATATATATATATATATATACTTATATACTGTTATACTCAACTACCTGAGTAACACAGTGTTTAAAATCCTTTAGTAGTGAGAGATCATTAAATGAAGCAGAGCAGTACTCCTGCTCTCATTCTCACAATTTTTCCAAGTTTTCCCACAGAAGACCCAGTGTCTTGGGCACACTGAGCAACACTGGCATTTGCCCAAATGACCTTCTTCTCTAGAAGTTACGGTACACATGTTGGATGTGTGCTTCAGAAGCAGACATCGGTACCTCAGCTTGAGTTAGGGGCACTGCTCCAGAAGAGACCCTGGGCTCATCTGACAAATGGTCAAATAGCAAATCTCGTTTTCTTTCATAGAGTTAAAACTTGTGTTTTCTTCTGGCAAACGTCTGTACTTGTTGAAAGTTGGCTCTATGGGATCTGCCATAGAGAGAACTCTAGTTGAAGAACATTCTGGGAACATCTATTTATTGGATATTGACTGGAAAAGGAACCTCATCTATTGGACGAATGCTCAGGGACATCTGGTCTACTCAACTGGGTATTCTGGACAAAAGCTAGAGATCTGGACACGGCGTACTGGTAAGTAGGGGAGGGCATCTTGTTTTCCTCTCTGCTTTTATTTTTGCTTCTCAAATAACTAGGACCAAAAAAAAAATCTTTTCAAGTACTGATTTAAATAAATCTTCATGCCAGTGGAAAATCCCCACTTCTTGAAAGTTTTATCACCTCTCAATAGCACCAGAAGGTGAAGACCAACTCTTTACTTATTGAAGTGTTAACTATATCTGATTTATTCTTGCTCTTAGGAGCTATGTGCAGATTGTCAGAAAGCTACTATGACTCAGGGAATCCTAGAGCTGTAGTAATAAGGTTTTTAAATTTTTACATTTCTGGCCTTAAATCAGGGGAGGATAGAAATGGACCTTTCATTCTTCAATTTTTGCATTGCAAATTTTTCTTACATGAATTTAGAAGTAATTTGCAATGCAGATCTAAGAGTGAACTAGCAAGATATTTTCTTAATATGGTATATATATTTTCTTCCCCCTCCCACACTCCTAAATGCCACACCCCATCCCCAAGTTCCGTGTACTCAGATTAACTGTAAACATCTACTTTATAAGGGAGAACTGCGACTTGAGTTCTGTGATTAGAACTAGATTTCTGAATATCTGTCCCTTGGGTCTCTGCCAAGTGCTAAGGACAGGCTTTAGTGCAAAAGGTGCTGTATTGAAATACATATCTTAGAGTCATCCTCGGGGTAGTATATCTTACCAGAGAGCCCTGTTGGGTGACCACAAATACTGGCAGCAGCTCCCCAGTGATGTTCAGGGTTTACAAGAGAGTAACAATTTCGTTTGAGGTGTTTCTCACGTCAAGTGCTGAGTCCTTGTGTCTGTAATAGTCTTTTGTTACTGTAAACAACACCTGAGATAATCAACTTACAAAGAAAAAAAAATTAAATAAAGAAAAGAGGAAAGATTTCTTTTGGATCATGGATTTAGAGATCCCATTCAGGCAGATCTGTTGCTTTTAGGCCTCTGGTGGGGATGAGGGATGGCAATGGTGGGGAGTGCATGGTGGAGAAAAACTGTTCTCCTTGTGACCAAGCAACAAAAGAGAGCAAAATAAAGAGGCTGGGGATCCATGATTCACATCCAGGCACACCGTGACTGACCTAAAGTCCTCTCACTAGGCCCCACCTCTTAAAGGTTCCACCAACTCTCAATAGCACCGCAAACTCAAGACCAAGTCTTTGGGTGACATTCAAGATCCAAACTATATTAATAAGACCCTGTTTCAAAATTTAAAAATAAAAAATGGATGGGGGCCTGGGGATGTGGCTCAGTGGCTGAAGCTCCCTTGGTACCAAAAAAAAAAAAAAAAAAAAAAAAAAAAAAGCTCGAAGATTCTGTTTTAGAAATACAGTACCTGTCTATAGGAGCCAGGGAATATAGCTTAGTGACAGATCACTTGCCTACCTTCACAGTGTGCTGGGTCCAATTCCCAGCAACACGCACAACACACACACACACACACACACTCTCTCTCTCTCTCTCACACACACACACACATACATGAAGTAGTGTAGCATGGCTCAAAAGAAATTCCTGATAATTGGGCTCTCAACAGAATCTACAGAGGGCCAAGGTTGAGTCTATAATTCCAGAAGAGAAGTCAATATTCTCTGGATATAACAGAACCCAACAAAGGGAAGACAGCATCTGCATCTAGGATGGCCAGTCTGTTCTTACTAATTTATCAACCTTAAGTCATTTCTCCTTTTGCAGGCAGAGTAACTTCGTGGTTATGGGGAAAACTCAGATGTGTAAGTTCCTCCCTATGACAATGTGAGGAATAGTCAGGAAATGCTCCCCCACTAAGGCCCAGTACTAGGAATGACCTGCAGCCCATCGGCCCTTTGCATTCTGGCTTCCCTCTTCTGCCCCGTAGCCCACCCTCATGCCTCGCCTGTTGGTCTTTTTCTCTGGTGGTTAACATTGGAGTTCTTCCTGTGATACCCAGGGGTGTGCTGAAAATGATAACCACCAGCTCTTCAAGGACAAGTGAACATATATACTTACATATGTTTACAATAAAACTTACTGATATAAAGGATATCAACCTACAAATGTTAAAAAACACACAATTTCTTTATTGTAAACTTTTTCCGTGGTTATTATGACTGATTTTCACAGAATGCTTTTTTTATGGTAAAGTCTTGGATCAAAAGCAATTCTGTTAGTTACAATTTAACTAAGTTTTAATAATCTTTGAATAAATGCTTGCTACTATCTGATTAGTCAATGATGTTTTTGAAGGAGTGTAGTTTCAACTTAGAGTTTGATACTTTTGTTTCCTTAGTGAAGTGATAAAGACTTGGAATTAGTTCATCAGTGACATAAATGACTTCTTTGCTGAATTGAATAATAAATTTCAAATACTAGAAAAATGTTTCCTTAATTTTGGGGGGTATTTAAAGTATAATGGCTATAGATATGACACATGCAAGATGAATCTTATAATCACTTACATTTTATTACTTTCTTAGATTTAGACTAGGATCTGGCAAACGTTTTGTGTAAGAAGGCCAGATTGTACATATTTTAGGTTTAATGGGCTCTCTCTTGTTATAGCACTGAAGTAGTCATAGACACAGTGTGAATGATCAGCAAAATTCCACTAAAACTGTATCTACAAAACCAACCAAGGAGGCCGACTTGGCCCAAGGGCACTTGTTTTTATTTTTTTTTAATTTTTTAATTTTGTTTTGTAGACCAGGGAATGGAAAACAGTCAAGCCCTGGTTTGTAGTATTTACAATTTTTACCATGTAAATACTCCCACGATGGCAGATTTCAAGCTACAATGTGACACATTATTAAATGTGGAGTTGGGAAGAGATGTGTGAGCAAACCTTTATTTAGTATCTCCACCATATGGGTACAATTGACATAAGCATACAAGAGAATAGATACAAGTTGAGTGGCCCCAATCCAAAGATCTAAAATCCAGAATGTGATAAAATTTGAAAGTTTTTGAGTTCTCACAAAGTGGAATAAGTGGAAACTTTCATGGCTGGTCTGTCTGTTGACAAATTTTTTTAAATTTATTCTTTTTAAATATACATGACAGTGGAAGGTATTTTGACATATTATACATACGTGGAGTATAATTTATTCTAATTAGGATCTCATTCTTGTGGTTGTGCATGATGTGGAGTTTTACTGGTTGTGTATTCATATATGAACATAGGAAAGTTATTTCTGATTCATCATGTTTTTCCTGTTCCCATCCTTTCTTGTTTACCTTCATTCCCCTTTGTCTAATCCAATGATCTTTTATTCTTCCCTTCCCACCCCTTAATGTGTGTTAACATCCACCTACTAGAACATTTGGCCTTTGGTTTTTGGGGAGTGGCTTATTTCACTTAGCATGACAGTCTTCAGTTCCTTTCCATTCACTGGCAAGTGCCATAATTTCATTCTTCTTTCTGGCTGAGTAATGTTCCATGGTGTATATGTACACATTTTCTTTATCCATTCACCTATTGAAGGGCACCTAGGTTGGTTCCATAGCTTAGCCATCGTGAATTGAACTGCTATAAACATTGATGTGACTGTCACTGTATTATGCTGATTTTAAGTCCTTTGGGTTAAACTGAGGAGTGGGATAGCTGGGTCAAAATGATGGTTCCATTCCACATTTTCTAAGGAACCTCCATACTACTTTCCAGTATGGTTGCACCAATTTGCACATTTTCTAAGGAACCTCCATACTACTTTCCAGTATGGTTGCACCAATTTGCACATTTTCTAAGGAACCTCCATACTACTTTCCAGTATGGTTGCACCAATTTGCAGCCCCACCGGCAGTGTATGAGTGCACCTTATCCCCCACATCCTCACCAACATTTATTGTTACTTGTATTCTTGATACCTGCCATTATGATTGGAGTGAGATGAAATCTCAGTGTAGTTTTAATTTGCATTTTTGTTGGCCAATCATATTTCTTCTTCTGTGAAGTGGCTGTTCATTTCCTTTGCCTGTTTATTGATAGAGTTATTTGTTTGTTTGGTGTTCTTTTTTGAGTTCTTTATATATCCTAGAGATTAATGCTCTGAGGTGCAGGTGGCAAATATTTTCTCCTGTTCTGTAGGCTCTCTCTTCATATTCTTGTTTGCTTTGCTATGAAGAAGTTTTTAGTTTGATATCATCCCATTTATTGATTCTTGATTTTACTATGCCTGACATTTGTGGTGAGTTGTTGTCAAAGTTCAGATGCACCAAAAATATTGTATAAGAATTACCTTTTAGGCTACATGTGTAAGGCGTACATGAAACATCAATGAATTGTGTGTTTGGAGACTAGGGTCCCATCCCCAAAGTACCTCATCATTGTAAGAAAATATTCCAAAATCCAAAACATTTGGTCCTAAGCATTTTGGATAAAATTTGCATACTCAGCTTGTAATAGTGAACTGTAGGAGAACAGTTAGAAAGTAATGAGTAGTTGTTGCTTTCAATAAATCAGTATAATTCATTTAATTGTTAATATTGAATAATCAGCTTAAATGATTTTTTAAAATTTAATAATTGGCTATTGTAAGCTTGTGCAAATCAGCTTTGTTACCTCCTGTAAAATGACAGACACTACTCTAACCTTTCGATTTGATTTGTTTTAACCCTAATTATCATAACACCTACCAAAAACACCCTATTACACATTTAAGGAAACCAAGGCATAGAAGTTAACTGACATCATGTGATAGAACAGTATGTTTTTGGTTTTGGTACTAGGGATTGAACCCATTACCATTGAGCTTAGTAGTCCTTTTATTTATTTATTTATTTATTTATTTATGTTTTTATTTTAAGATAGGGCCTCACTAACTTGTCGAGGCTGGCTTTAAATTTGGGAATCCTCCTGTCTCAGCCTCCTGAATCATTGGGATTACAGGTGCACACCACCAAAATGGAACAGGGTTTTGAATGAGCCTATCTGACTTGCTAGCCTGATATTGCTCTCACACTGTGTGCTAAATGGCATCCCAGTATTGCTGACATACCTAGCTGAGACCCAGTTGGATAACACTATGGTGGGTGTGGGTAGGAGTAGTGAGAGTGCTTTGCAGGCTACTGCCCAACTCAGCTATTCACGTCTAAAAACAGACAGTTTGTGGCTTTTGTAGACTTGGTCCCTAGCATAACTGCGCCTTCTAGTTGTAAATTTCCTCATTGTCCATGCACTCCGTCAGTGACCTTCCATACCACTGTAGGAATCACTGTGTCACAATCTCTGCTTTCCCCTAGCAGTTTCAGTTCTGTTGACTTGACATGCAGTGGACTGATTTTCATATTAACCTCTGAGGAGGAAAGAATGTGAATCTCAAGTTGCAGACCTGCATTTAAATGTAGGCTTTGCCACTTGGACATCAAACCTACAAGAATATAATGAGTGCCTCCTTTGCCAGGTGGCTACAGGGATCTACAGAGCTCATGTGACAAGGTGCTGGAACCAGAGCATGTGTGATAAGGCTCATCATGGAAATGAGAGCTGTCAGTTTGTGAGGGACTCTCACATCCTTGCCCCAACTCTTGTCTCCTTTCTTTCCTTGACCCAGAGTTTGAGTCAGCACATTGAATAGGTTGAAAGCCCTGTATAATAGAGTTCCTTTTCCTCCTTCAGTCTGCTCAGCAAATGTAGACATATCAACAGGGCACCTGTTCTGGCTGCCTTGCGACAGAGGTGCTATCCAGAAGACCAGCATTCCTGGAGCCGACACACATACCCTCTACAGCACCAGCAGCATCATACTGCAGCTGCTTCTCGACTGGCCCAGGAGGGTGCTCTATTGGGTGGAAAGCGGGAAACACTTGCAGAGTCTAACCCTGGATGGCAAAATCAGACAGGAGGTCTGGAGAGGCACCTGGACAGCAGACACCCAGATGGCCTTAGACCTGGGCTCCGCTAGCATTCTCTGGACTACCAAAGGGTCAGGTAAGCCCTTGTACTGCCAATGCACGTGAGGAAGCACCAGGGGACAGTGAGCTCTAGACAGTCCTATCTTTAGTATAATGCTTCTAGTCATTCTTTCACATTTGTTTTCAATTTTTTTAATTAATTTTTTTTGTCTGTGCTGGGGAAATTCTTTTTTGTTTTTAATTGACACACAATAATTGTACATATTTATGAAGTGCAGTGTGACGTTCTGACACATGTATGCAATGTGCAGTGATCAAATCAGGGTGCATCTGTCACCTGGAACATTTATCGTTTCTTTGTGGGGAGAACACTTGAAGTCCTCTCTCCTAGCCATCCCAGTTATTTCAAGAACTAGGTAGACACAGAATTTGTCTGTGTCTACCTAGTTCTTGAAACTGGGAATAGAAGTTTGACAGTTAAAGCATGGATAGTCACCTCAAATTTGCCTCTGATCTAAAAGTGTAGTTTGGGGGAGGGGGATAGTAGAGGATAGGAAAGACAGCAGAATACAACAGACACTAGTATGGCAGTATGTAAAAAAGTGGATGTGTAACCGATGTGATTCTGCAATCTGTATACGGGGTAAAAATGGGAGTTCATAACCCACTTGAATCAAATGTATGAAATATGATATGTCAAGAGCTTTGTAATGTTTTGAACAAGTAATAATAAAAAATAAATAAATAAATAAATAAAATAAATAATCCCCCCCCACAATAATAAATAAATAAAATAAATAAAAGTGTAGTTTGGGGATTTAGAAGATGGAAAACCTCAGAAATGACATACTTAATAACTTTTAAAATATACTTTGAATAGCTGTTTGTCGTGTCCAGGATTCACTTCTACTTCATTAAGTAGAAGTAATGAAACCAAAGTCCCATTGCCAATGAGGGCCAAGGGTTGCAGCTGTAACTTGGAAACAAGTACAGGTTATATCTGTGTAGCTGAGTTTGCTCATTTTCTTCCCCCGGAGTCTGTCCGTGAGGTCAGCTACATGCTGATGGCCAGGAGTTTTTAGTATACATGGAAGCAGCAAAGTCACATCTGACGTTCCCTCATGGCAGGACAAAGCCCCTCGCTTTCCAGGAGCTTAAAGCACCTCATTAGTCTATCTTTACATATAAAATTAAAATCTAGAAAACGTGATACGAAGAGTATGTGATTCTTTATATTTGGGGTTTTTGAACCTCAATCTGACAGCACATGTGCACCTCACCCAAGCATTCTGTGGTGACAGATCACTTGTTCAGCATCCGCTTCTAAGACCTTGGCTCTTCCTTAGGGTTGCAAAGTCTGAGTCTCCTAAAAAATAGAACGTACTCTTTGAACAAGTCCTGGAGTGATGGGCTCATCGCGGCCCATGAGCCCTACCTGGTGACGGTGGACCAGGCAGCTCTTGTGCTGTGGAACAGGAAGACGCTGGAGCCCTTCTCAGTGCTGAAGGAATCATACGTAAAGAAAATGATCATCTTGGCAGAGAACCAGGAGGTGCCGGGTGAGTCCTTCTTTGGTCTGGTTATTCTTTGACTCCGCTTCACTGGACCCTTCCCATTGTTGTGCTTTTCTAGGATCCGATCCTGGGTGCTTGTACATGTGCACGGGCAGTTGTCTCCAGCCACAGTTCAGCAGGCTGTCTCCCTAAGGTCTCTGTGTGTTGGAAACACAAGAATCCAACCCATTTCTTCAAGTTCCTTAATGACATAAGTCTCTTAGCAATATTCAAAGAAGGGTGCAGGCCATCACCCCTTTTGGAAGTCATCTTGCACATCAGCATATTCAAGCCTTTTTGGTACTTAAAAAAAAAAAAAAACATTTAATTTGCTCTAAACCAGTTTCCCAAACTTATTTATCAAAGAAACCATTCTTTCCCTCCATGGAACTGAACCAGGCACCCTTAATCACTGAGTCACATCCCCAGCCCTTTTTTTTATTTTTATTTTTTTTATTTTGACACAGTATCTCACTAAGTTGCTTAGGACCTTGCTAGGTTGCTGAGGCTGGCTTTAAACTGGCAATCCTCCTGCCTCAGCTTCCAGAGCTGCTGGGATTACAGGGGTGTGCCACCATGCCTGGCTAAGTAGTATCTCAAAGGGGACCCTCTGTGACACTCCTTTAAGGTTGTGGATGCAAGTTGAGTTTCCCTTGTCTGAAATATTTGAGACACGTTTCAGATTTTGATTTTTTTTTTGAGTTTTGTAATGTTTGCATATAACTAATATTTTGGGGAAGGTACCCAAGTCTAAACACAAAATCCAGTTAACTTTATATACATCTTATGCACATAGCCTGAAGATAATTTTTTAAATTATGTTTAGTGCTCCTGCATTATGACTATGACCTGTCCCATGAGGACAGGTAGAGAATTTTCTACTTGTGACATCGTGTTGGCACTTACAGGGTTGTAGATTTTGAAACATTTTGGATTTCAGATTTTTTGGATTTGGCATGCTCAACTGGTACCAGGAAAAACCGTGCTCTTGCTTTTATTGAAGTTGTGTCAGGGTTATTTGAATGAATCTGCTTAAGGTTGCTTTCCTTTCTTTTTCTTTTGAAAAATGTTGTTGGCACAGAGCCCCCGCCCCTTCCCGCCACACACACAAAAAAATCTGATCTTGAATCACAAGGCAGGAAAAGAGGAAATTCATATCACAGGCGTCATTGTCATTGTTAGCAGATGTAGCTGGATGTCTTGAAGTGGAAACACAAAGGACAAATGCATTCCTTCTGTATACCCGATCTCATTCTGTCCTCCCATTCCCCTCCTCTGTCCAAACTGCCTTACTTTTTCTTTTTTTAAAGATGTTGATGGACCTTTATTTTATTCATTTATTTATTTGCGGTGCTCAGAATTGAACCCAGTACCTCACACATGCTAGGCAAGCGCTCTACCATCAAGCCACAACCCCAGCCACCGAACTGCCTTACTTTTTGACTCACTGGTTGGTTACGCCTGATTTTAAGAGTTAGAAGCATTAGGCATAGGGACAGATTTCTTAGGTGGTGAAGTGTGCCAGTAAAGTTGATTTTCTGTAACAAATCCAATCTTTATTATTCAAACAAATCTGTTCAGTTGCTACAATGGTTGCTGAAGAGCACTAATGATAACTTTTAGGATTGTAATTAATGCTTTTCAGCAAATGAGGACCCATTATATGCTGGCCCTTGTTCAAGACCACAGGATGCTATAGCAGGAAAGCAGAAGGACAGTTATGCCTCACTTAATGATAGGGATATCTTCTGAGAATGTGTAATGTTAGTGATGTCGTCATTATATTAACATCATATAACGTACCTACACAAGCCCACAAGCCCAGATGGAATAGACCATATACACCTACTGTACATATTTTTATGTGCTAGACTTTGTTTTTTTTTAACCCAAGGCACTTAACCAATGAGCCCACATCCACAGCCCTTTTTTATTTAGAGACAGGGTATCACTAAGTTGCTTAGGGCCTCACTAATTGCTGAGGCTGGGCTTTGAACTTGCCATCCTCCTGCCTCAGCCTCCAGGGCCACTGGGGTTTCAGGCATGGACCACAGTGCCCAGCTGGGCTAGACTTTTATATGACTGGCAGCATGGTAGAATTTTTTTTTAAACACCAGTATCGTTACAAACACATGAGTAATTCGTTGTGCTTGACATGAGAACAGCCTCAACTTTATATGATGTTAGTGACATCACTGAGTGCTAGGAACTTTTCAGCTTTATTTTAATCTTATGAGATTATTGTCATAAGTGAGACTGTTGTTGACTGAAATGTCAATCATACTACACATAACTGTACTTTTTATTCCTCAGACTGGAATAGAGTAGCAGATAGTGAAAAAAATTAAGGTTAAAGTTTTTAGACTGGCAAGAAGAAAACAATTTGCCCAAATTCAAAGCCAGTAGATAATGATCTAACGTACCACTCTTAATCTAAGGATGTAAATTCGAGGCAGTTTCACTTTTTATTCTTATGAAGTAGAAAAATGTTGGTACTCAGCCATGACATGTCTTTCTGGAAGAGGGGGACAATAGGAGCATGCCCCAATTGCTGAACCATACCAGCCTGACTTGCTGAAGCAGTGGTTTGCTCTAGATCCTGAGATTGAAGGAGCCACAATGGTCCCTCCTACTCTTCCTCCTCCACCACCTCTACTATGCACCCGGTCCTCTGTTCCCTGTCGGGATGGGAAGGAATGTATTTCTCGGGAGTCCCTCTGTGACGGCCAGCGTGACTGTCAGGATGGCTCCGATGAAGAGAACTGCTCCCAGCTCTGCCACAAACCAGGTCTGTCACCCTCTCCTGTCCTCAGTGTTTTGTGCCAGGTACTCTGAGTTGGCTTTGAGCGTGCCATGAATTGTCAGAGTGTTGACTTGACCAGAGTCATGCTGACTTTCCCTAGGCAGATTTGCATAGATGAAAGCCACAGCCTGTCAGGATTCTGATTCTGTGAGTGCCCATTTTACCACATTTAAGCCACGTGCTAGACTATTACTTCCTTGCTGCTTCAAATTTTCTAAGTGTTCCAATCTGACCTAAATGGCCCACTTTTAACAGAGGTGGTCTTACAAGTCATCAGAGTAACCAAACACGAGGCTTTAAATGACCTAGCTTAGCTCGCTGGTTTAGTTGACCTGAGCACGTTATGAATCAATTAGATATTAGAACTCAGATTAAACAAGATGAAGTCTGTTTGCACCTCAGATTCCAGAATGAGAGTGAATTCATCTCAGTTTGGACCTTCTGTCTGACTGTGCTACTCTGGCATTTTCCATTTAAGGAGTCTTCCAGTGTCTGGATGGAAGAAGGTGCATAGAGGAGAAATACCACTGCGATGGGGCTCAGCACTGCTTGGATGGGTCTGATGAGCTCAGCTGCTGGAAGCCTGTCGAAGAGTGTTCTCTGCGCTGTGACAACAAGACTCGCTGCATCCCTAAGAGCTGGCTATGTGATGGAAACCCAGACTGTTCTGACAAGAGAGATGAACAAGGATGTGGTAGGTTTCAACGGGCTTCCTGAAAGTATTTTAAACAGTATTAGAGTTGCTGCTGCTTTTTCATAGTAGGTAGGTTCTAAATGAGCAGATATGGAACCATCCTCATTCCTGGAAGTAATGCCAGGTTGGGTACCTATAGAGCCTCTGGTCACAATGTTTTTATCAACTGACTGATACTTAGCCTCTTTGCATATGTATTTCTGTTGAAAGGTGTCATGATATCTGTTGTTGATTCATCAGCATTGAGCTCACAACACTGCCATTCAGCCCTTAACACAGCTTACCTAATACAGGTATTTCTCCTTAAAGCAAGTCACAGCTATCTTGTGCTCAGGAACATTAGACAGCATTTCAGCCCTGTGCTAGGAGGCCATTCAATAGAAAAATCACCAAAATGAGACTAAATAGACTGCAAAAAGTACACTTATAGTTTAAGAGCCAACATAAGAATGCCCCAGTGCGTCTATTTGACCTCTGCTGGGAACTTGCACATTGAGTGACTCAAATTTCTTGCCACTATGCATGTGTCTGCAGATGACATGAGAGTATGGAAGTACTGACCTGAGGTTACAAAGAAAGTAAGTAGTTGAATGTGCAAATACTGAATCCAAAAATGAGGATCATTGACTCTCTTTTCTACAGATGTAACAGACTAAGATAAAAGATCTTGAGGTAGAGGGATCTTAGAGATCAGCCCCAATGCTCCCCTCTATTACAAGACCATATAGTGGGAAATCCATCTATGCTCCAAAGTTCCTTTATGTTGAGTTAGACTCTGCCTCCTTGAAGATTTAAATTTTGGTCTCAGCTTCCGCCTTGTGGGATCGTGTAGAAGAGAAAATTGGGAGAATCTAAGTGGGAGGAGGGAAGCTGGGTAAGCTACTATGTTAGTCAGCCTTCTGTCCTTGTGACCAAGCTACTGGACAAAGAACAACTTAGAGAAGAAATGTTTATTTTGGGCTCATGATTTCAGAGATCTCAGTACATGGTTGGCTGGCTCCATTGCTCTGAGCATGAGGTACGGCAGAACCTCATGGCAGAAGGATGTGGTGGAGAAAAGCTGCTCAGCTTGTGGCAGTCAGGAGGCAGAGAGAGAAAGAGGAAGGGGCCAGGTCACACCTCTAACCACACCCCACCCACCTTTAGTCATCACCCAGTAGTCCATTCAGCTATCAGTGAATTATCTACAAATTAATTATTCCACTGAAGAGGTCAGAGACCTAATTATTTCTGAAAGCTCCATCTCTGCACCTTGTTATGCTTCCAATACGTGAACTTTTCAGACGAAGTTCCAGATCCCAACCATAACAGGTACCATGATAGATTTGAATGTGGAGGTGACTGCATAGCCAGAGGCTATGACTGCATTTGGATCCGTGACAATATCAGGAGGTACGAGATACAGGAAGGAAGGTAAATCATACTCAAGGTATGATTTACTTTTTAACAGCTATTATAGTTTTTCCTAGGCTTGATTCTTTCTCTTAGATGTTTATCAAGTAACATCTATGTATACGTATTGAGTTTAAGAATGTAAATTATAGAATATTTTGAATGTTGTGGAAGGGTTTTTTTTTTTTTTTTGATAGATAAATAAAGGACTCAGAGAGGTGTCCTTACTCTCTGCCTATCCCAGTGTCCTACACATCCTCCCACCCCTGTCCCTCAGCCCTTGATTTCTAGGACAAATAGCAGATTTTCAGGGTATCTTCTGGTTGGGGCTTCAGCTCCTTATTAGGCCCTTTCTGACCCAACTTTGGACTAGAACCACCTTCCTGCTCTAACACTTGCTTGGGCTAGTTCCTAAAATGAAGTGTTAGCACTAAACTGAGGGACCTTCTAGCCATTTTATTTGTCATTGAATTGCTTCATATGTGGTTTAGTTCTCACCTAAAGCTTTTATTTTTTCAGTTCATGAGAAATGCAGCCCATCTGAATTTAGATGTGAGAATGGCCAGTGCATCACTTTCTCTCTGCATTGTGATGGGAACCGAGACTGCCTGGACCACTCAGATGAAGAAGACTGTCCTGTTGCCTGGCCCCTGTGGTGCCCACCAGGGGAGGTGAAGTGCAGGAGGAGTGGAGAATGTGTGCTGGCAGAGTGGATATGTGACCATGACCTGGATTGCAAAGATGGAAGTGATGAGAAGGTAGGACACTCTTCTTTCAGGAAAAGGGGAGTTTAGTCACCCATCAGAATCTGTGGGGGGATTGGCTCCAAGACCGCCTCATAGACATTCAAATATTCACAGAGGCTCAAGTTCCTTATATAAAATGGTATAGTATTTACTTATAACCTGAGCACATCCTGCAAGATTCTTTAGATCATTTCTAGATTAATTATAATACCTAATGCAAAGTTAAATGTTATATAAATAGTTGTTATAGTTTATTGTGTAAGGAATAATATCAAGGAAAAATGTATATATTTAGTACAAACACTATTTCTTTTGCAAATATTTTGGGTCTGGGTTAGTGGAATCCATGGACAAAGAACCCATAGATACGGAGGGCCAACTGTGGATTTCTAATCACAGCATAGTACATGATTTCTGGGGAAAATGCAAGACCAGAGAAGTCACCATAATCACTCCCCAAAAAGCCACTCCTAGCTACATCAAAGTGTCCCAAATGTTAACAGGAGGCTGTTGAAATCCATGCTTTCAAGAGGCATATTTGTGTTGTAGGAGATTTGCAAGTGGTAGCATGTGATAACCATGACATAAATGTCCTACCTAGATATGTGGTCTGAAGGACTGAACAACCCTGTCACTAGCTCTACTTAATTGTCACTATGAATTTTACTAAAGCTCCAGCATGGTATAGATGCAGCTTGGACTCAAATTCTACTGCTTGCATGTGACCTCAACAAGGACTTATTTATTGCTAAGTGTTCGATTTCCTCGTCAGAAACTGTGGATTTAGGATACATCTTGTCCTGCCAGAGGGGCTGAGAATGTATCTAAAGGCTCCAGGGACTAGCAAGTGCATAGATGTCCCTCTCCCTTCGAGTACCCAAGTCAGTGTAGGTGCAAAATATGCTCAGTGTTAATTTGCTGGGGTATGTGTTACCCAGGGCAGGCAGAATTCTGCATCAGTGTTTCTAGAACAATTCTTTTGCTGTTTCTTAAATTAAATGAAGGCTTCCCAATCGGTCTGTGTGTCAAAAATTAGACGTTGCTTCCCACTACTTGATATCCTAAACTCCAGCTACAGAAAGACTTTCTCATAATTCATGTCACTTCTGAGATTTTGGACTCCATCTGGCCTCCTTAAAGTGCGGGCTTGAGAGCAGTCTCCTAACCCAAGCCTCCTTCCCCCAAGCTCCCTTTCTGGGCTCTGGATGCCGGAGCTGCTGACTACATCTCTGTCTCCTCAGGACTGTGACCCTGAGGTGCTTCAGTGTGGCCCGACCCAGTGGAGCTGTGCCAGTAGAGACCAGTGTGTGCCTGACTCCTGGCACTGTGACGGGCACAGTGACTGCAGGGACGGCAGTGACGAGGCTGGATGTAAGTAAAGGGAGCCCTCCATGTGGGCGGGACAGGGGTGCAGAGGTCATTGGCTTTCAAGGGCTCCCCTCGCTGGTGGCTAACTGTGGGAATGAGCAACCAGCTCACAAGCACATGCTACAGAACCAGAAATCTGTTCCTCAAACGGAGGCATCTTGATTATACACAGGGAGACCATGCTGAGGGAGGGATCCCTGGGGGCCAGAAAACAACTCTTAAGTAAGAAGCCATCCCTTGCAGGCCCCCCTCAGAAGTGCCTGGGTTCTGAGTTCCGGTGCGGCACCGATGCCTGCCTGAGCCTCAGCGAGGTGTGTGATGGGAAGGAAGACTGTTCTGATGGCTCTGATGAAGGTGGAGTGTGCTCGCTGGCAGCCTGCAGCCCAGGACAGTGCTCCCACACCTGCTACCCGTCCCCAGCCGGGCCTGTGAGTTGCTTCTGTTCTTTAGCAGCTATAAACTTGGTCTAGGGAAAGTAGGCAGTGGTCTCGTTCAGGTTGTCCCTGAGTGCTCCTTGACCTCTTAAGTCTTACATAGCAGAGCTGTCTTGACCATCCACTGATCTGCCTGAGCCTTCTGGCTCCCGGTGAGACTTTTTTTTAGCTCCTTTCCTATCTCGAATCTCCTGGAACCTTGCCACTCAGCTTGTAGAAACTATGACCATCTGAGCTCTAAATGACATGGAGGGCTAAGTGAGAACTGTTGTGGATTGTCCTAAGAGCCAAACAGTCCCCTCATGCTGCAGGAAATTGTCTACCTGCTTCTAAACAGTTGCATCCATGTGAGTATTTGGAATCTGACCTGCCCTTAAATGGTGAACTGTCTGGGCTCTAGTTAGTATTGTTGGTTGGCAGAACACAGTGAACTTGATTCTAATGGACAAGTCGGGGAAAAACTGTTCTGGTATCGGGTTGTACTGGCATCTTTGTTGGTAGACAGCCAGCTAGATAAGTCTGCATGCCCCTCCCGGCAGTGATCCTGCTTAGGCTCTGGGTGTCCTGGGCTGAACTTGGACCCATGATGGTAAAAAGGGTATAAGGGGTGTGGCATGGTTGATAAGGCAAAGAGAATTGACTATATTAAATATAAAGTTGGTTCTTAGAACAGTTTGAGTTGTCAGAATTCAACACAGCCCCGTACACATTTCATTCCAAGGTTGATGCCATTTTGTCAATGTTGTTCTGTCTTCAGAAATTTTTAATGTCTTCTTGTCTCTTTCAGATATGTGCTTGTGAGCAAGGCTTTCAGCTGGAGAGCCGTGGTCGGATCTGCCAGGATGTGAATGAGTGCCAGGAGTCGGGTAGTAGGCCTTGTAGTCAGACCTGTGTCAATACCCAGGGCTCCTACATCTGTACCTGTCGTCCTGGCTACTTGCTGGAGCCTGATGGCCATACCTGCAAAGCGACAGGTACACTGGAGCTGCACATATTTTCAGAGCCCTGGATTGTGAGCTTTGAGTTCCTAAATCTTCCAGGAATCCCAATGTAAATCTGTCTTTCTTATATCCTAAATGCTCCTGCTTGTTTTTCTTCAAAAAAAGAGCCAAGAACCTCCCCACAGTTATCCCTTCAAACCTTGCATTTCACACTGAATTAATCTGAAACTACCTGCTAATAAGATGTCACTGTAACAGAACCATAATTCTGGCATTTGTAACCATGACTCAACCTTACCTGTACAGTCGAGCATTTTTTTCTGGTCTGCCTGCTCCCAAATACTTAGTTAGAAGAGAATTAAAATGGAAAAAAAAATTCTAAGTATCTTTAACTATGGTTATTATTCTAACCATTACATCATGAAGAACTACTCATCTTGTTGGCATCTTAGCCCTGTCAGTGAGAAGGCAAGAGACTACTTTGTCCTTTAATTCATTAGTCAGTGCTGGCTTTTACTGTTCAAATTCCTTTATGACTGTTGAAAGCAATTCTTATTTGACAGGTGCTGAACCAGTCCTGCTTGTTGCAATTCAGTTTAACCTATTCCTCTATGGACTGAGAAGCTTGAAAGAAGATATTCTTGCAACCACAGACAAGAACCTGATTATTTTCTCTGTTGACTATGATTTAGTGGATCAAAAAGTCTTCTGGGCAGATCTCAATGCAGAAAGTATAAAGTGGATAAGTATGGACACTAAAAAGAAAGGGACCGTGGTAAAAGGTATTGCACCCTTTAAGGCTTCCATTCCATGCTTATCAAATACACATTGCATAAAAAATAAAACGAGTGGCTGTTTACATTCAAAACATGAATTTGATCATATTTCTTTTGCTAAAAGAGGCCAAGGCTTGCTAGTTGGTAGGAAATGGAAAGGTGCATGGTGTTCTCAGTAGTCATGAGGGTCTGTAAAAATATCAGCTGGTGACCATTATCTCTAATGGTCATCTACTATAGGAGGGGGGAGAATTTTAAAGATTTGCTGCGTTGGAGATGCATATAGGAGATGGAAAATTAATTAACATGGTGTACAATTCCAGAACCCTTGAACTCAAACCTAGTAAAAGTTGCCACTCAACAGTGTACTCATGTTAAATTATTTCTTCTCTTCAGGTATAAAGTCAAACTGTCTAATGGTCGACTGGATTGGGAGGAATCTCTACTGGACTGATGGGACAGCTGGTCAGATTTTAGCCATTCAGTTGACTGCCATTTGGAGAGGGAAATCTGAGTATACAATTGTCCTGGATGATGACTTGACTCAGCCCCAATCTTTGGCATTGGATCCCCTAAATGGGTGAGTCCAGGTGTCAGAATGACTGGTCAAGACCTAGAAATTGGTTATTCCTCCTTAGTTCTAGGTTGTTTGTGTTCCCTATCACAGAATGAATGGAAAACTTACTAAACTTTAGATCTATAGTGATATGGGTCAGCTATACAAAAGTAATCTTAGAAACTCTGGAAAAAGATCTAATTTCAGTAAAATGAGATAAAAGTATTGTTTGCTCAGTGGCTCACCTATATTTTTTTCTGCTCAAATAGACATATATACCTCTGGACCTTTATGACTTTAAAATTATGAGTAAGTGTGGAACCTAAGAAAAATGTGAAATTTACAATAATATGAGTTTTTGGCAAGCTTGGTTTATTCCATCTAGAATCTTTTTTCCTTCTGCAAAAGCAAAGAATTTAAAGTTAACATTCCCATATCCTCACTGGGAGGCCTTATGGATAGCAAATATAAGAAAAAGATACAAGAAATAAGATCCAAAGGTAACCCAGATTGGGTACCCTCTCTCTTCCTTCTTACCTTTTTAATACTTTTAACCAGGAATCTATCAACATGGTCCTCCAGAAACGGGCAGTAGTTTTCAATGCATCTAATAGCCTATGGTTAAGAATGAAGTCTAAGACATGCATATGCCCATGAAACTATCCTACTTTTTAGCCAAGGAAAGATTGGCAGGTTCCCTGGATATTTCCAGGCTAGGCACTAATGTACTCTCAGAATTCATGTATCACTGTTGTGATAGATACTATACCCTCTAATGATGTCTAAACAATCACCATGAAATGTCAAGGAAAAGTGTACTTTAATATTTCACAAGTGCACTTGGACCCAATTAACGCTGAAGGAAAAAATAACTGAGCTGTAAAACAGTGTTTTAAGGAATGCATTGACCTTATATTCTATAAGGCAAGGCAATACATTATCTTAAAGTTGACTTTTATTTGCACAGATTAATGTACTGGTCCGAAATTGGAGAAGAACCTCAAATAGAGCAAGCCGGAATGGATGGCAGTGACAGGAAAATACTCATCAGTCAAGGTCTTGGACGGCCAACTAGCATAGCCCTCGACCAGTTAAGTTGGAAGATATTCTGGTCCGATGACAAATTTCACTGTATTGGCTCTGCCAACCTAGATGGTACTGGCATTAGTGTAAGTGTCCTTTTGACATTAGGCTTGTTTGAAATGTCATGTGTCTCGTATGTAAAACTCACCCTAGAAAAGTCACCTTCACCATTTTAGATGTTGCAGCTAACACAAATCAAGAACCCCTTTTCAGTTGCTGTGTTTGAAGATGAAGTCTTCTGGTCCGAGATGAAGACAAGAACAGTGCAGCGTGTGCAGAAGATGACAGGCAAGAACAGGGCTGTCCTCATCAAGCGTTCTGGACAGCCCTATGGACTCAAGGTATATAGTATGCTCTTTAAGTTATTCCCCTAGTTCTCCCCAGAAAGGCTGTACATATGAGTTACATGAGCTGCCTAAATACCAAACAGTGACATACATCTATAATGATTAAAAAGCAAAATTTAGGGGCTGGGACTGTAGCTCAGTGGCAAAGTACTTGCCTAGCATGTGTGAGGCACTGGGCTCAAGTCTCAGCACCACATAAAATAAATAAATAAAGGTATTGTGTCCATCTACAACTAAAAAAAAAATTTAAAAACTAGGGATTGGAGTGTACCTCGGTGGTAGAGTGTGTACTTAGCATCCATGAACCTAGATTTATTTTCCCAGGCTAGGAAAAAAAATTACTTATTTAAAATAAGTAGATAAATATTTATTTATAAAAATAAACAAGTGAGAGAAGAATTTACTCATGTTGTTTTTCTGTTTTTAAGAATTCAGTAATACATAGCAGCAACTGGCTATTTTCTTCCAGATAATGCATGAGGTGCTACAGCCCAGGTCTTCTAATCCTTGTCTGGACACTGGATGTTCTCACTTGTGCCTTCTGAGCCCACGATCCAAGGGGAGCTGTCATTGTCCAGTGGGGCTCCTGCTTGCAGATGATGGAACCACCTGTGTCCCACTCAAGGAGTCTGCGTTTGTGTTTCTTGTACTACCCACAGTTATCATGCAGGTACTGTTCCCAAGCTTTTCCTTACATATCTGAAACAGACTGTTTCAGACTGTGGGTGTTTGAATTCTCCACATACAGGTGTCAATGGGAGGGGCCCTTTCCCTTGGAATATTCTTCACCTACAACTTAAATTTCAGTACTCGGTATGTGCTGCTTGCCATCATGACCAAAATAAGGTATTCCAAAATACTTGAATGAAGACCATGCCTACTTAAAATTCCCTGAAGAAGTTCTTAGTATACCAGAACACAGTGAGGGTAGAGATCTGAGAGTGGGCTTACCTTTGCTTAGTTGTCCAAGGACCTAGTTGATGATGCAGAGACACTCTACATACAAGCAGCTCAGCAGGTTCTAGCCTGGAGAGGAAGCTCATCTAATGAAGAAACTTGTTTTAAGTTACAGGAGGAGAGCCTGGTGGTGGTGCCTGCATGTAATCCCAGTGGCTCAAGAGGCTGAGACAGGAGGATCTGAGTTCAAAGCCAGCCTCAGCAAAAGCAAGGCACTAAGCAATTCTTTGAGACACTGTCTCTAAACAAAATTCAAAATTGGGCTGGGGATGTGGTTCAGTAGTTGAATGCCCCTGAGTTCAATCATTGATACAAAAAAAAAAATTATTATAGGAGTAGATAGTCATAACAAACAAGTCACCCCTAACCTCTACCATCCAGAGGACTTGTCAACTTTGGTATTTTAAAAAAGAAATTTTGGGGTGGAAGATTGGTTTTGGAAATTCACTAGTAGAATCTCATTTAAAGAGGAAGACATTCAAGAGATGTACAAATCTTCAAAACACATAGATTCTAGGAAGTTTCAGTCCTTGAAGCTCTAGGAAGGGAGCAAAAGAACTTCTCTCTGCTTTCAGAAGGTAGAATATCTGAAAATCTGAAACTTAGGAATCCTAATGTTAATGCAAAATCAATGAAGAGTCAGACTAGACCAATTCAGTTCTACCGTCCTAAATTTTTTTTCCCCCCATAGGTGTATCTGAAAAATCTAAAAGCTTTCCCAGGACAAGGAACTTTACCAGAACATAGAATGCTTCCTTTTACCAATGTGGACCAGCTTGCATCAATGGATTATATCGTCCAGGAAAAAACTCTCTATCTCTCAGAGTTGAATCATGGTGATATCAGGCTGCTGAGGCTTAAAGATCCTGGCACACTTGCGTGGAGGAAAATCACTTCTGTGAAGGGGACTGTGGTTGACCTTGCTGTGGACTGGCTGAGTGGAAACGTATATTGGATTGACAGTGAACAGCCGCGTATCAGTGTAGGTTCCTTAAAAGCCCAGTATCCTATTGTCTTGCTCAGTGAAAATCTTTACCGCCCAGTGTCTGTGGTGCTCCACCCACCTACTGCAGTCATGTGCTTCGTGGACCTGGGTTCCCTAGATGATAGGAAGCGTGGTTCCAGCATTGAATGTGCCTCCATGGATGGCAGCAGGAGGAAGATGCTATGGCGGAAATCCCAGGTGCCTGTGGGATTGGCCTTTTCGGATTCAGGGACCCGCCTGTACTGGGCTGATACTGGTAAGCAGTTGCTAACGGCACCCTAAACCTTGAAGCCAGAGTGAAATAATGAAGTTCTGGCTCTCTTGTCTTCAGCCACAATTTCAATCAGCTTTTTTGTTCTGCATGAACATTTTCTACCAACACATCCTAAACAATCTTCTCCCGTCCTAAGTGGCATGTCATAGCCCACAGAGTCATGCAGTTCCTCTCGTGAAATAAAAATTGAGAACTTAAGAAATCTGCATGTGTAACTTGTTGTATCGCTGTTAAAGAGGAATGAATGAAGCAGACCTGATTTTAGAGAAGGCATGGCAGACAGGAGGGGAGGCAGGACATGGCAGATAGAGCTACAGGATGTAGGATGGGTGTTTGGGCCAAATGAAATTAACTGAACCTCTCTTCCTAGGAAGAGGACTCATAGAAAGTATTCAACAAGATGGCTCTAGACACAGAGTAGACCGCCAAGGGATTCAGGGCCTTAACCTCTTTACGTTTGGTCAAGGCATGATGTTCTGGACAACAACTGATGATGGTAGGTCTTGATTCTCCATCCAATTATCTTTGTGATCTGAATTTACTCCTGGATATCCAGAGAGTATCTGCTACTAGGGCTTAGCACCAGTCTTTGGCAGTATCTGGCCTTTGGAAGAAAAACTACTCTGGAAAAGGATACTGTAACAGTGATTCCGTGACTTGGGGAGAACTTCTAGTTATTTGGTTTTTGTTCCTATGAATAAGCTTAGTTCCTTTCTTCCTGAAATTCCTGACTTTCATATGAGGCTCTCTGCTTTTGATGATACCATGGTTATGTTAATTTTCTATCACTGAGACAAAATACCTGAGATAATCAACTTAAAAGGGGAGTTTATTTTGATTCATGGTCTCTTAGGTTTCTGTCCATGATTACTTGACCCTGTTGCCTTGGGGCCTGAACATCATGGTAGCAGCATGTGGTAGAGGAGGTTTCTCACTCTTGGAGGGGGAAACAGAGGAGGAGGAGGGCCCAGGGTCTCAATATCCCCTTCTGTAGGGCACACCCCTAATGATATAACTTCTTTCTACTAGGCTCCACCTCCTACAGGTTCTAGCACCTTCCAGTAGAGCTACAGGCTAAGGATCCCACCTCAACACGTGGACCTTTGGATAACATTTATCCAAGCTATAGCCATGGTATAGTACACAGAGAACTGGGCTAGGAATTAGAACTAGGTGGTATGCCTGCTATCAGTCGTTCTAATACCTTACCTATAAAATGAAGACAGTACCTCTCTTGGTTGATTAAGTACCCTTGAGAGTATTAAGTAAATTAACAAGCATTCTAACATGGAATTTCTCTTATTTCAAAGGGATTATACTAAATCAGTGTTCTAGTGTATTGTTTTTATATATATTAGATTTTGGTGTATAAATTTCTGACTCATGTCTAAAGAAACTATAAAATTCTGTTTATGATAAATCTTTATCTCTTTATATTTTCAAATGCCAGTCCATTGGCTAGTTGGGCTAGTCACATCAGAATTGGAAGGAAAAAAACAAGTTTTCAGCTCCTACTTGAGAGATGCTAATTTATTAAGTACATTGTGAGACCTTCGATATCTAATTAGGTACATCATGAGACCTTTGCCATCTTATTTTAAGATCCCATGGTAACTCTTGTTGCAGATAAGCCATTTCTGGAAATGTTGTTCTAGAATAGTATTTAAAATCATTACTCATTAATTGCATGGATCCAGCATTGAATGTGCCTCCACATATCCTCACTATATATGGATATTCACTCACTATATATGGGACATATATGGATATTCTGGTCATGCTTACAAACATGTGACTTTATTATGGAGGAAAGTATATAATGGTTTTTATTTCTCTTCCAGAAATAAGGTTTAGAAAAATATGTGTCTCTTTTGTAAAATTGTCATTACTCAACTGGGGTTTAGGCCAATGAATGAAAGTATTCATACTGAACCATGTTCTTTACCCAGGAAGTTGCCTTAAGATAGAATTTTGTTTTTGTTAATGATTTTTCATTGGATTTTGTTTTAGCCCAAATCACTAAAGTTTGGTACAGCAAAACAGAAGTTTTAGAAAATCGGTGGTTCCAAGTAGACCAGAAGATTGTGGACTTAAAAGTTTACAGTAAATTTAGTCAACAAGGTAGGTAAACTTGCAGTGACTATGACAGTGCTGTAATCTACTGAACTTTGGAATACTCCATCATCCCATATCTCTCGGAAATATCTTTGTGTTTCCCATTAAATGTTAAAATGTTTCTATGGCAAATTCCTGTAGACCTGCGTAAATCTCTTATCCTTATGTACTTCTACACAAACTGGTTAAGGTACATAATTAGTCCCATTACTTACGTAGTATTCACAATCAAGTAGTAAACTCACTAGCCTGAGCACTGGTAGAATTAGTGTGTTAGTCAGCTTTTCATTGCTATAACAAATCCCTGAGATAATCAACTTATAAAGATAAAAGGTTTATTTTGGCTTACAGTTTTAGAGGTTTCAGTCCATGGTTGGTTTGGTCTCATTACTTCGGGGCCAGGAACATGTGGCAAGGCAACACTGTTCATTTTGTGGCCTGGAGGCAACAGAGAAGAAGAAGAAACCAGGGTCCCACAGTCTCCTTAAAAGGCATGTCTCCAGAAAGCTAAATAACTCCCCTGAAAATTTCCACCATCTCTTTCAATAGTGTCACACTGTGGATTTTGGCCTTTACCAGGCCTTTAACTTAGAAACATTTAGGGGACACTTGTGACCCAAATGATAGTACTTGGGTTCTATTTTCAATTTTATTATTGTGCACTGGGTTACAACAACAACAGGATAATTGAAATACCACTTTAACCCAAACGTGGAGCTAGTCTTTATTCTATTCATTGACACTAGTATCTATTTTTCATGTTAACTAATACATGAAATTTCAACATGGGAATGATCATGTGTTTTTCTCTACTATCTCATAGACACAATTGGAATACCTAACTGAATACTTTGGGAGGGTGATCATGGGTTTAATAAAGTAAGAAGAGATAAAATCAAGAGATTAATGTCAACAATGTGGGCTCAATTCATTAACCACAGATTCTTCTGAAACCTAATCTAACTCAATATGTTTGGGGGTGGGGTGGATCCACAGGTAGTAACAGCTGCTCAAAGGACAACGGAGGATGTAGCCATATCTGTCTACCAAACCCTGAGGGACAGACTTGCAAGTGTCCGAGTGGGTACTACTTGGCCGATGCAAACAAATGCTTTGAGTCTGCAGGATGCTCGGAGTCATCAAAATCTTGTAAGGATGGTGAGAAATGCATTTCCACGGAGCAAGTTTGTGATGGTCACGCTGAAACTGGTCATAACCGCTAACGAAAAAGATTTGGAAATGGAATCAGGAATCTTACAGTGAAGAGTTCTCACTCACTTCTCAATCTAAATTTGCTTCTTAGAAAATCTGACTATCTGGAAGAACCAATAGCTATTAAACCCTAGTCACTTTCTCTTAAATAGGAAAGAAAATGAATTTTGATTCTCAGAGTTGATTCTACCATTAGCTTTTTGTCAGCTTTCATCAAAATACCTGACAAGAATAACTTAGAGTAGGAAAATTTTATTTGAGGTCTGAGTCTACAGACAGCTGACTTCATGGCTTTGGGCCCAAAGTAAGGAAGAACATCATGCTCAAAGGATGTGGTAGAAGAAACCTCTTTCCTCGTGACAGCTAGGAAGCAGAGGGAGAGGAAGGGGAAGGGGCTACAAGGAAGACGAACCCCTCCAGAGCATGTCCCCTTGCGGTCACTTCCTCTAGCCGTGCCCTACCCTGCCTATGATCACTGCCTGGTTAGTCCATTCAAACTAGGATGGGCTGATCAGGTTAAAGTTCTCACCGTCAAATCATTTTACCTCCAAATATTTCTGCATTAACATAGGAGACAATATTGGGGGGACACCTCATATCTCTATATCTGTATGATTTTACAGTATTTTGTTTAATTAAAAGCAATGGTAGGCCCGGTGCCATGCCACATATCTATAATCCCAGTGGCTCAGGAGGCTGAGGCAGGAGGATAGCAAGTTCAAAGCCAGCCTCAACAACTTTGTGAGGCCCTAAGCAATGTAATGAGTCCCTGCCACAAGAAATAAAAGGGTGTTTGTGTGTGTGTATGTGTGTGTGTGTGTGTGTGTAAACTCTACCCGTATCACCTACCTCTTGTGTTTACAGGTACTGGACCAGGTAAATCTCATTCAACATCAACACCTACAAAGTCAGAAGCAGGCAAAAGGTTGACTCCAAAAGCTTCCCGACCTCCCCAGGCTACCAAGTCCACCACACCTGGACATCCAGGCCCAGAAAGAATGAGGGATCCTGTCACAAACCCACTAACCACTCTGATGCCTGCCAGAGAGAGCAAGACCCCAGAAACTAAGGAAAGAGGGGCTTCTGTTCAGCCCGAGGACTCTCAGAAGGCAAAACATGTGCCCTGCAGCCGTGATTTCTGTAATGGGAGGGGAATCTGTACAACAGAAGGAAAGTTGAGAAAATGCAGCTGTCTGAGGGAATATGGTGGAGAGTTCTGTGAGGAGGCAGTACATGGACCCACCCCTGGCTACATAGCATTCAGCGTAACCACTGCCTTATCAGTTGTTCTGGTAGCGCTGGGGGCATTTCTACATTTCAGAAGAGAGCACAAATTAAAACGGTAAGTATCAGCTCGTGTTTCCATGGAAGAATTGTATTAGCTTCTGATATTAATGGAGTTGAAGACGTAAGTCCACGCTAGAAATCTGTCTTTTAAGGAAGGACTTAGGGTGGTAAAGCAGTCTTACCTATTAGATACCCTGGAGAAACAATAATTGGGACCATGTCTTTGAGACCTGAGGTAAGCACTACTGTATGAGGTCTGAGGTATTTATGCAGGTAAAAATCTGTCTTAACCATGGTCAGTGGCAGAGTCTGAGAAATTAAGTGAGAAAATTCCCCTTCAGTGAGGCAGTAAGGTCAGTGCCAGTGATTGGAGGTAATATTTGTTAGGAGGTGTTCTAGTTTGCTAGAGCTGCCATAACATAATACTGGAGACTGGGTATCATAAACAGCAGAAATTTAATTTCTCATCATTCTGGAGGCTGGAAGTCCCAAGATCAAGGTGTCAGCAGGAGTGGTTCTTCTGTGGCTTTTCTTCTGGCAGATGGATGACCAGTTCCTCCCTGTGTCTTCTCATGTCTTCCCCTCAGTGTGTTTGTGTCCTAATCTCTTTTTCTTATAAAGACATCTGTCATACTGGATTAGGGTTCACCCTCATGGTCTTATTTAACTTAATTACCTCCTTAAAGGCCCCACAGTCATATTCTGGGTTATTTGAAGTTAGGACTTCAACATATGGATGCTAGGCACTTGGGAATCACCATTTAGTCCATAACTAGAGGTGAAATAAACTCAGGAATTATTTAAAGCACAAGTGCTAAGTTTGGGCCCAAAGCAAGACAGACCCTAAAGATACAGCAGGAATAAAAAATGAGATTTCAGAAAAAGTAAGAGTAGAAAAGATGTGATGGAAGACACTGACTAAACACATTGAGAAAGGGACACTAAAGAACATACAGAGTGGGGCTGGGGATGTGGCTCAAGCGGTAGAGCACTCACCTCACACGTGCGAGGCTCTGGGTTCGATCCTCAGCACCACATAGAAATAAATAAATAAAATAAAGGTCTTGTGGCCAACTACAACTAAAAAATAAACATTAAAAAAAAGACGTACAGATGAAGAAATGTGAAGATGAAGGAAGCTTTAAAAGCTACCTCTCTGTCCTGCCTTCCTTGTGCAGATTGAGAGGAAAAGGCCATTGCCCAAAGCATCTCTGGTTAATGGCTAACTGGTTAACATCACCGTCCTGAGATGTAACCCTTGGGCTTTTGATTGTCACCTCAGGTCTTTCTGCTGCGTTCACCTGCTTTCTCATTCACTGTTGTCCACCTACCATGTGCCTGTCCTTAGATCCAGTTCTGGTTGACTTCAATCACGTGGCTTCTCTCAGTTGAGCAGAGATGCCATTTTTGAAGCTAAGTGCATGCCTGTAACAAAGAATAATTGAAGTATTGTACATTCCTGATCATTTACTTTTAAGTGGGCATTAGATTAAAATAAGGCATAGTTTCTATAGCAACTATCTTTGATAGGGGATAAGCTGGCCTTTTCTAATCATACCCCAATCTTAGCATCTATCTCAAGGAACAGTTCTTTTAACTTTGCTTTTTTGATTTCTAGAACTAGCACAGCATCATCAAGAAATTTGACCTATAATAAAGAAAATGACCAGGAAGAAGAAAATCTAATGAATAGTGAGATTTTTGTCAATGAAGCCTACGATGAACAGGTATGCTGAGGAAAGCTGGGAAGTCTCTTTCTAATGGATTGTGAAATGTGGTTAAAGAAATGTCCTTTTGAAAAAAATCCTGTTCAGTGAAAGTAGTTACTGTTTATTTAAAGGGATTCTTGTTTTTGGTGAATGTTGCTGTTATGTTTCAAGCTATTGTCTGTTGGCTCTATTGTCCTTAGACTCTGGTTTAAAGAACTACAGGTTGAGCTGGGCACAGTGAAGCACACCTGTAATCCCAGCAGCTTGGGAGGTTGAGGCAGGAGGATCGAGAGTTCAAAGCCAGCTTCAGCAAGTCATGAGGCCCTAAGCAACTCAGCAAGACCTTGTCTCTAAGAAAATTAAAAAAAAAAAAAAAAAAAAAACCCTGAGAAAGTGGCTCAGTGTTTGAGTGCCCCCAGGTTCAATCCCTGATAATGAAAAAAAAAATTTTAATGAAATAAAAATATTTTTTTTAAAAAAGAACTACAGCTTGAACAAGGTGAAACATGCATGTAATAACAATCAAAAATTAGCTTTTAGTGGACTTCCACATGGTGGGGTGGGGTAGGATGTTATGAGGGTTTGCATTACCCTTAAAACTTAGGTCCCCTTGTAATCTCTGCTGACTTCTGCCTAGTTTAACATCCTTGATCTTTGCTTTGGGCTCATGCAACATATAATATCTAACTCCAACTCTCCTTTCCCCTAGGAATTGCTCACCTCTTTACAAACTGACTGAGCTTATAAAAATGGAACTGAAACATTCCAGTGAAAATCGTTTATACATTTCGTTGTGTACTGTTTTAACCTCCTTAACAGCTTGTGGTAAATCATAATGACTTATTAAAATAAGTGCTTCTTAAATTGGAAAAAGTTGTCTAGTTTTGTTAATATGTTTTAGAAACACAGAGCCTTTTGAATCCCACAGCATCTGACCCAGTACTAGTCAGAAGTTCTGCGTTGGAATCTTGGCTCTAACACTGATTTAAAGGATTTTACTAGTTAATCCTCTGGCCTGTTTCCAGTTTTACCGGAGATAGTGATCTCTTTGCCTTTTAGGAGAAAGGCCAAGTTTCTGCAGAGTAGCAAATGCTCAAATGATAGTTCACTACCACTTCTTCTTTCAGATAAATTTTGTTGTTGAGTACTCATTTTTGTTTAAGATTTATAAAGTTGTTTTTATTGTGCTTTTATTCAATTCTGAAACTAATACTAGAACAGGTTAATATACTTTACAGATGTAGCAGCTCAGACACATGATTTGTCCAGGGCTTATTTAAAATAAAGTGGATGGAGACTGTAGTCAGCAACAGAGTATAGCTGTGCCCCAATTCACCTCAACTAGCTCTTACCTGCTGGGGGAACATGCAGGTACTTGGACTGCTAACACCTCTGTTTGTCTTCTTGGGTTATTACTGACCTCACACCCATGTGAGGAATCCAAGGGTTCTGAATCCATGATGGAAGATGGGGTATTGTCTAAAATTGGATAGTAGCAGCCTTGGACAAACCATTTAGTCCTGAATGTGTTGCCAGTGCTAAAATTGAGATTATAATAACCTATATCAACAGGCCAATTGAACATGGAGTGAAAATGAAAAGGTCTGTATATAGCATAGCACTTTTACCCAATAACATGAGTCTCAATTGTAATAAACAGCTTTATTTGGCAAATTTTTCTTGCTTGGATCTAGATTTTTCATATTTAGTGTCTTGGTGAATAAATTCATATAGATCCCCAAGTATAATTTTATATATTACTCTGGGTAATATATAAACTGTGTTCTCAATGAAACATAAAAAAAAAAATTGAAGTAAAGATCAATTTGACCTGAACGACAAATGCCCAGGAACCCCCTTTCCTGCTGAGACAAGGCTGAGTCTCTGGCTGGTGCTCAGCTGTGCCTGAGAAAGACTTTCAGCGCCACAGCACTCTCAGCCCTTCTCAGGAATGGAGAGAATTAGATTTTTCTTACTATCCCTGTTCCAAAAGCCAGTCTCGCAGTCAGTTTTGTCGTTGGCAAGTCTTTGCCTTTTCCCTGTACATAAAAATGACATGAAAGGATCAAACTCAAAAGCATGTACAACAGTATTATCTCTTTCTCTGCCCAGGTTTGAGTTGCTGCCTTGGTCTCCTTTGGACCTTAAGTCCTACATCAATTGGTGTGTGTTCCACCTGGCTCAGCCTGCTTCTGTAGGCTCTGAGCTGGAATGCTATTCCAGCCCCACTCTTCAGGCTCCCTTTCCAGTTTGGGACCCAGAAACACCTGCCATTTCCTCCTCTTGGGAAAAATGGAGCTGACTGCAGGCAGCCAAATCTTCTAAGTATAGCAAGTATCACCTTTCCTCCCTGCCCCACCCTGGTCTATTTATAACTATTCTTATCTTTGATCTCCTGTGAGTGTATTATCTCACCTGAATCTAGTTTAACATTCTGTTTCCCCATTCAAGAATTTACAGAACATTCTGAATAGTTCATGAAAAGATTTAATCTTAAAAATGAATACTCCAGATTTTACATTTAATAATTCCTAGCCATTCCTATTCCCTGAACTGGTTTTAGCATGCCAATTTCATCACTTTATCTTCTATGTTTGTAGAAATGTCATACTATCAACTACAAGAGCCTTCTTTTATGATGAGCTCTCTTAATTTCTTAATTTATCTACACCTAATAGATGGAGCAGTAAGCCTGTGGCAGATGTAAAATCCACATTTCCTTCTAGAAACTCAACTTATCTAACACAGTGATAGGTTTGGGTTTTCTTCTGGAAAAAATAAGAATTTTTTAGAATTATAAATGCTAATTGGTTCAAAGAGCCCTACACAAAACTTTTTATGTCTGCTGATAGCAATTAAGAGTTAAACCAAGAACTTATACTAATTCTTCTTAGGACACAAGGGGGAAAAGGTCATGGTGGGAGGATGTATATTAAGTCTCTACTATTCTTAACTCCTGGGCGGGAGGAGCTTATGGAATTCAGAGAAATCAAGAACTAGAATATGGAGTTTGTTGCTTTCAGACTGACAACAGAATTATATAGGTCAATCAGCTTCCCCAGCCTCCACTGTTCAAATTTCATTTCTCTTCAGGCCTCATCTAATTTTTAATGGTCACCTTCAGAGTATTGAAGTTAGAGAAGCCCTCTGATGATATCTAATTCAGTCCAGTACTACATATGACGGAAAAATCCAGAAAGAGCAAGGTTTACATTAAAGGCATATGTCATTTAAACTCCGGGAACATCTAAGTAACCTCCTTTAGCCTCCTTCAGCCTAATGATGGATGCAACCGCTGGCATGAGTGGTTTAAGAAGGGAGGTGACAGGGACATTTGCCATAGGAATCATAAAAATGCTTAGTGTGTGAAATGTACATACGTCCCTTGTAGGCTTTCTCTCCATCTTAGAGTCACCCTGGTTTCTAAGTAGGACTGCTTGCTGGCTCACGTCCTTGTCAGTCTGTGTAACTTGGGCAGACCAGTTGGACAAGAATTGTAAAGACATAATTAAGTCTGAAGCCATTCTCTCCATGGGCCCCACTGAAAGATCAAGTCCCCTACTCATCCCTAGACCCATGCTGAGTCTTGTCTATATTTTCCTTGATTTGAGCAAATTCAACCTTATTTCCGTGTCTTCAGTCCTGCTTAATGAAGATTGGTGGGAGGAGGTCATTCTACTATGCCTGTGACCAGATAGAGGAATGTGGGTGGAGGTTGTTGGGACATCTGGGTGAGAATTTCAAACAAGGTTTTACAAGAAGTAATAATTGAGTCCCTTATTTTCCTTCTTTCCCACACGGGGAGATGGACCTCATCAGTAGTGACTCCACCCTTAGGTTTTGGGGCCAGTGGCCTTGGGCTATATATCACTTTGCACATGTGTGTATGAGAGGAGGAAGCTCTTGTGTACAGAAAACACTTTAAGAGGTAACCCTCATACATTGCTCATAGACACTGAGATAAACGGGAACTATTCATGCTTTTACCTTCAATTTAGAGGTAAAACCCCAAAAAGCACCAAAGGTTAAGCCACATGTAAATGATATGTTCAAATATGACACCTCTAAGCTGATGGGGGAAGGGAGTCATTTTGAATGTGAACTGATTCAGGAAGGTAACCAGGGTGAAAACTCAGGCCTCAGCCAAGTCAAGTAGTTTGAGCTAAGTGGATGACACTTAAGGGAATCCTGAAGGCTTTTTAAAAGAGATGAATGACAAAGACTTCACTTTAGGAGGGTCAGACTGAAGATGGGTGGGTTTTTGAGAGAGACCCTGGTTGAAAAACTTTTCCAGCACCCCTGAGAATGTGATTGAGGCTCTTAGGTTCTAATTACTTACCTGTCTACTGGATTGTGGGGCTGTCTATACCCTGATGAACAGAGGGTTCCATCAGCTACTCACATCGAATTGTTTATATTTGATTCTGGAGCATTTTCAGAAATTGTTCAGACTGTATTTACTTCTACAGAAACTAATCTGGTAAGGGGTAAATTTTGGATTTATTCAGTCTTACTCAATTGTACCACTGGGTTTTTTTTCTGTTTTTACCACACTATTATAGAATGAAGTATGAGTGTTTTACTCGTACTTTATTGGAACTTGGGGTTTGCTGTTCTTTCTGCCTTGAATGCTCCCCATTCTTTTTTCAACAGTTTTCTGCTCACATCTCCCATCTCACCTCCTCCCTCACCACTTTTCCTAATCTATCATCCTTTCTCCTCCATCTCTGGACCCTGCTTTTCCATTTTTCCTTTCACTTGTACAATACCTCTCATGCTAGAATACCACAGGACCCGAAATAGTTGTTTTCCATGGTGCCCACAAATGTGCTGGCAAAATGTCAGGTGTCCCCAAAACTTACTGGGTGAGTGATCTATGCAACGAAGAGGATGGTGGTTGCTGAAACACCCTGATAGCACCACCCACAGCCCCCGCAGTGGATAAACAGCTCACATGCTAAAACCCACACCCCTTCTTAATGAGGATGTGGGCATTCACAGGAGAGCAGACTGGAGGACAGGAAGAACAGGAGCTGGCTTAAAGCAGTTTCTGCTTCACTTGCCCAGATCTCTTGGTCCTCTAGGCATAATGTGAGTAATCCTGGAAAGCCTATAGGCATTAAGTGGCGACCCGTGCTTGGTATGCTGATTGAGGGGGTTAAAAATGAGCTGTGATGGCACATCACAAACAGGTGTGAAGAGCTTGGGTGGGGGACAGTGTTACTCTACACTAGTGGGTCACTGCCATGCAGTTGCTAGGTCAGCCAGTACCAAGTTCTAGTCTCACCCACAGCAGGACTCCTGAGACTCCACCTCCTCCCACACCTTGTCTCAAGCCCCTGCCAAGTGTGTGCTGCTCTGGCAGAGAATGGCCTTCAGTCCAAAAACAGATCCCAGTGGGATGCAGGAGCCTCTCTCCGTGCCATCCTGAACACTTTTATAACAATATCCAAAAGTTTGCATTTTTAAAAATGGAGTTTTGGACTTGTTTCTGTTGATAGGGCAAACATAGAATTTTAACTCTTCAGTAATCAAATCCTAATCATCAGAGAAAGGGTGTTTCACATATAAGCCAGTGGGAAATAATTGAGAGAGGAGGGAAAGTGAAACGTACAAAGCACCAGTTTTGCTTTTACCAAGGTTTCCTTAGAAATATTTGGAATTAGGATGCAGGTGAGATTCAGTACTTGCCAGAAATCTGGGCTCTCTATGTTGTATGCAAGGACCTGATTTCCCAGAGGCAATAATGACTGCCTTTTGAAGTGTTAGCTGAAAAGAGCAGCTGCCTTTGCTCCATTTTGATTCAGCTCCCACAGCAAGTCCCCAAATGCACCTGGGCAGGTGCTCAAAGGTCTATGAACAGCCAGCAGTGACTGAAACTTAATTTGAGGCAAAGTCCTAACTAAAACCTGGCAACTCCAAGTAGGTCCGTTGAACCATCAGCCTTGACATCTCCTAGAAGCCACTTGGGAAATCAGTTTCAGAGTCCCCAGACCTATAGTATCAGAATCTGAATTTGAAAAGGATCCCAAAGTGATAGGGCTACCCATCCTTCAAGTTGGATCTCAAACAAACAAAACCCCAGGTGATTCCACTACAGAATCACAGGGATGTGAAGGCATGTCATTGTGTCCACTGCACAAGCAGCTATGTTTTTATTGGTTCCATCATAGCTCTCGATATAGTCAGTGCTTACTGAACTGATGGTTCCCACTTTTAAACTGCATGTTTTAAAAAAAGAGATTCAGTTCAGTGAAAGGTACCTTTAAGTCAACCACTTGGAATGAAAGCCAGTCCTCCTGGAGATTTAGTCCCCTTAGTGGAACACAGAGCTTCCTACCTGTGACTTTAAGCACCACTTCAAGAAGAGGAAAAGATTTCTCTCACTTCAAGTGGAAACCTGTACTTCTAGTTTTTTCAACAATAGCCTTGGCTTGGTACAGAATGCTGCACAAACCTGGAAACAAAAGCAATCAGGGATTGAGGTGGGTGGGGGTGTTCTTTTTGTAATCTAATGCAGAGAGGTGCAAAGGTCTGACTGCTAGATTTCAGAAGCAGTGTCTAGGTAGCCAGGAAATAGTTAGTCAAGAATGCTGCAACTATCGAAAGTGGCACTGGAGGTATAGAAAGCTTTCATGGCCTACTGAAACTGATGTTTAATTTTTTTATTTATAAATAAAAGATATATACATATCTACTTTACCAAATGTAGCTATGAGGTTCCATTTTGTAAAAAAATATTAAATCTAGAGTCTTCTGTGTCCAGGGTGAGGTATTCAAGGAAGAAAACAGTATTGTGTGCATGCCTTCATTTACCTTGCTTCTGGAAGAGAAGCTCTTGAATGACCTTTCACACCAAAACAAGTGATAAAAATGATAAATCCTATCTACACAAGAAGAGATGTACGCATGAGTTACCCAGATTATTTTGTTCAATAAAAGCCACTAAAGCTGCTGGCATTTTCATGACTCTTAAAGAGCCTGGGTTCATACACAACCAGAAATACACTGGCCTTTCCAGAGTTGGCATGACAAGAAGTTAAAAAGCAAAGGAAAAATAAAATGCAATGATTATACTGATCCAAGATTCATTAGTGTTAGAATACTCTAGTTTCAAGTTACACTTAAACCAGTTCATTAGTGTTAGAATACTATAGTTTCAAGTTACACTTAAACCAGTTTTGAGCCTCTTTTTTTGTTGATTTCAACTTTTTCTTGTTGTTTACTGTCTCTGGTTGTTAACACGATACAAACCTTTCTCTCCTTCAGCAAAGAAAAATGAAATTCTGAAAACAAACAAACAAACAAAAAACTGTCCTAACCTGAACTAAACGTCCAAAGAGCCAAAGAGCCTAGTTTGGTCACAGTAAAGGAAGATCGCCTTTCCAACCAGTTTCAGGAAGGTGATGGGGTTCCAATCCCCAGTCAGACTGCTTCTCAGCTGGCAAGTTCAAGGTAGAATGGTGCAGGCATTCCCAAGCCCAGGGTCTCCGCCTTGCAGGTGGAAGGAGGAGGTGAGGTCTACAGATCAGAATCGCAGGGCAGCGATCTGTGACAGGGCCGGGTGCTGCGTGAGGATGCCCCCTGGGAGGTGGCTGCCTTTCCCCCCTCCCCGTCGAGCACGTCCACCGGGTTGGTGTAAGCCTTGGGCGGCGGTTGCGGCATGGGAAAACCGACCTTGGGCTTGCGAGTGGCACCGTATTCGGTGGGTGGCGGCCGGTGCTGGCCCTCGCTGTAGTACTTGATGGCCGGTGTAAGTGTGGGCTCTGGCCAGTCCACGTAGACTGTGCTGATGCTGCTGCGGCGCGGCCCGGCTGGGGTCGCCTTGCGACAGCTGTGACAATGCTCCTCGCACCAAGGCGCGAAGCTGAGCGCTAACGAGAAGCCTCCCAACAGCAATAGGCAGCTGCCCAGGTAGCCCAGCACCAGGCTATAGCTAACCTCTACAGTGACCGGTTGGGCCGGGGCGGGCAGGACTTCGCGGTCCCCCAAGAAGTGATTGTACCAGGAGACCGGGATGAGGCTGAAGAGGCCCGCGGCAAAAAGCACTACGCCCGAGAGGCCCGCCAGCAGGAACTGGGGCTCCTCCTGCCAGCAGCGCACGCCGAGCGACGCCAGCAGCAGCCCGACGGCGGTGGTGGCCAGCGACGTGATCATGAGTCCCCGCGCCACCAGCACCGGCTGGGCCTCGAAGTAGCTCCACTGGTCCGGCTGGCCACACTCGCGCTCACGGCTGCTCTGCTCACGGCATATGTCCCACAGGCCCTGGTACAGCACCACGTCCACCGGCTGGTTGAGGAAGCCCTTTACCAGTCGCCAGCCGGGGGCCAGTGTGCTGATCAGGTTGAGCAGCAGCCCGCAGGGCGTGAGCACCATGCCCAGCGTCATCACCACCGGCGTCCGCATCCCGGGGAGCTCCCGCCGCACGACGGCTCTCCTGCTGCCTTCTGTATTGAAGCTCCTCCGGCTTCTGACCCCCGAAGTCAGCTCGGGCGCCTCCTTGGGTCGTGGCGCTGCGCCCTGCTCTCTCCGGCCGCTCTTTGTCTCCCGCACGGGTCTGTCCCCACTCCGTGGCTCGCCCTAGTCCCCTCCTCGCATCCTGGCCGCTCCTCCCTCCCGCCCCGCTCCTGTCCCCAATCGAAACCAGTTCGCGGGCGGGTCTGACCGAAACCGCGGATCCAGGTGCGGGACTGGGTGGCCAAACCCAGCCTGGGTGGGAGGGGCAGGAGGTGAGCGCGAGAAGCTCCGGAGCCACCTGGCACTCTGAGACCTCGGACTCGGGGAGATTCGGACACCCCGCCCTCAGCCAGACCGCTTGACCCCGCCCGGCTGGGATGGCTCCTGGACTGAGCAAAGGTCGCCCCGCCCCTGGCTCCAGGCTGGGGCCTGGCAGGCCGTGGGCGGGGAAGGAAAGGGGCGGTGACGCCGCCGTAGCACCACGGGTCTTGGTTGCTGCGCAGTTTCCCGGGTTTTTAGCGGATCTCAGTTCTGAAAGTTTTCTTTGGTCACTGCTTGGCCCCCTGCAGATTAGCTTCTCCCTGCACTCTCAGCTGCTTTCCGATGATCCCCTAGTTCTGCGCAGTCGACTTGCGGCCATTAGCTGCTGAGTGCGCGGCACCGTACGCGCCCAGCTGCCTGGGATGCGCGGGACAGGTGTGCACCGAAGAAGCCCTAGGCGAGAAGCGCGCCCAAAAATGTTGCAATCAAGTTGTTTAGTAAATGCTCCGCTTTCCCGACTAAGTTTAACTCAAAAGGATCAAAGCCAGGGTGTTTCTGAATTGAGGAGTTACAAAGGATTTTGGGGTTTTGTTTGTTTGTCTGTTTTCAGCATCGTGGAAGACTTCGAGGTGGGAAAAAGCAGCGGGGCGGGGAGGATTATTGAGTGTCCTTTATGGCGCACTTTGCAGGTTTATCTAACCCTATAGGGTCCTTTGGCCTTTCCTTGGCTTTGGGCTATTTCACACCTCTGTAAATTGTAGAAAACCTGTAATAGTTCAAATTATTTTTGTCCATAGTATGCAAATGAGTTTGTCCAGATGGAATATAATTGATCATTTGCCCGATGAATACTGACTAGTTAATTAACATTGGTTTGTAAATTCATGTTAGCATTGCTGTTTGCCTTATGTATGTGTTCTTTGCGTTGTCCTTTTGAACTGCTTTTAACATCATAGTATTTTTCTCCTTAAATATTGAATTACAATATTTGACACGTGCACATTTTGAGTGAAACTCATGATTTTTACTTTATAAATTATTCTCTAATAAATTTTTTCTGTACTTCCCATATTATGGACCATGGAAATTTGTTAGAATTATAAAATTTGTTAGAATTATAAAACTGTTTCTAGGCGCCGGGATTGTGGCTCAATGGTAGAGTGCTTGCCTACCAAGCATGAGGTTCGATCCTCAGCACCACATAAATGTAAAATAAAGATATTGTGTCCACGTAAAACTAAGAAATAAATATTTTTTAAAAAAACTTGGTAGAGTACCCCTGGGTTCAATCCCAATATTATAAAAATAAACAAAACATACACACACAAACAAAATAAAAAGGAATATTGATGTCCACATAATGGTTCCCACCTCACACTGCACACTTCACTATCCAAGTCTCACAAGGGTGGGTCTGATAGGTGGAAACTAGTTTACACGCCTTCAACCTAGAAAGGAAGGAAGTGTGGGAATTGTATTTTGGTAAAGTGGCACTCGCAATGTAGGAAATTATATTAAAAGGTTTGGCAATCATGTACGGTATGTGTCTATTATATAGAGGTCATGTTCAAAGTTTAAAAATATTTGGAATTTTTGTTTCAAAAGTAATTGAAATAATTGATATTTTAAAAGTAAAAAAAAAAAAAAACAATTTCTAAAAGTCAAAATTAATTCAGAGGTGCTTTGAAATAATTTTGGATATTCTGAAGGGAACAATCCCAGGGATGGGAATTACAAGTTTTGCGGTTTCTTTTTTAACTTAAAATTGTGATAAGTACAGATATCATAAAATTTACCATCTTAACAATTTTAAAGTGTATTTAAGTTGGTGGTAACCAGCACTACCATCCATCTCCAGAATCTTTTCATCTTCCTTGTTATGATTTACATATGAGGTGTCCCCCAAAACCTCATGTGTGAGACAATGCAAGAAAGTTTAGAGGTGAAATGATTGGGTTATGAGAGCCTTAACCTAATCAGGGTGTTAATCCCCTGATGGGGATTAGCTAGGTGGTAACTGTAGGCAGGTAGGGTGTGACTGGAGGAAGTGGTCATTTGGGGGTGTGCCTGTGGGGTTTATATTTTGTCCCTGCCCAGGGCAACAGTCTCTTTGCTTCCTGATGCTACTTCCTGATGTCATGTCCTGAGCTGCTTTCCTCCACCACACCCTTCTGCCATGATACTCTGTCTCAAACAATGAGGTCGATCTTCTATGGACTGAGATCTCTGAAACTGTGAACCCCAAAATAAACTTTTCCTCTTCTAAAATTGTTCTTTTCAGGTATTTTGTTCACAGTGGTTAAAACAAAAACAACAACAACAACAACAACAAAAAAAAACTGACTAAAACACTTCCTGATCTCAGTGGCCAAAATTGAGTGTGACCGAAAAACCACTACAGCTGGGAGTGTGAAAGGAATCCATAAGCAGACACTTGCCACGAAAACATTGTAAGGAAATGGAAGGTTATGACCAGATCAAGTAAAGTTGGTTGCAGCAGCAAAAAAAAAAGCCGATTAAAACATTCCCAAACGGAAACTCTATCAATTAAATGTGAACTTTGATTCTTCTCCATCCCTGCAGTCCTTCTCAACCATGATTCTTCTTTATCGCCATGAATTTGACTACTCTAGGTACTTATCTAAGTGGAATCATACAGTATTTATTTCTGGCTTATTAACTTAGCATACTGTCCTCTCAGTACTATAGCATGTCTCAGTGTTTCCTTGTTTCTTAACCATATAATATTTTACACTATGTATATATTACTCGTGTTTCTTCAGTCACATCTCAAGGTTGGGTTGTTTCCAACTTTTGGCTCTTATGAATAATGCTGCTATGAACATGAATGCACTAAAATATTTTTGGTGCCGTATATGTAATCTTTTTTTTTTTTTGTATATGCCTAGAAGTGGAGTTGTTGGATCATGTGGTAATTCTATTTTAATTTTTTTTGAGGGGCCACTATACTGCTTCCCATAGCAGCTGCATCATTTTTCATTGCCACAACAGTACACAAGTTTTCCAATTCCTCTGACTACCTTTGTTTTAAATGGATATTCACTGAATTTGTATTTCTTTTTTGTAAAGTACTTTTCAAAATGTCTTTTGATCTTTATTTTGATGCAAAGGATGAGACTGGAATGGTGATGTTTTCCTTAGTTTTATCTAGACATTTTCAGAAAGAATGGAGAAAACAGAGGTGAACTTTTACTGGTTATGATGGATGTCTGAAGTTTACTTCAAGACACAGCAACATGGTAGTGTGATACGATTCGCTGTGTTTCCATCTATGCCCAGCTAGGAGTTGTGTGCCCAGATATGTAGCTGCTCCGAGGGTAATTAGTTGACATTTCAAAAATCCTAACCCCAAAAGTCATACTCCATAGGCACCATCTATAGGGATTAACCACCTTGGTTTCCAATGAGTACCAGAGGCCTTGGACTTTTACATAATACTCGTAATTTTAATGCTTTTTCACTGAAAGTGAAGTCACTGCTGACCGAGATTTGTGGATTGCGCCTAGAAATATAAGCAAGGCTCTTGCTTTACTATAGTTTGTATCATAAATGCCCCTCAAGGTTTGTGTGTTGAAGACTTCGTCCCCAGTGTGTGATGATATTGGGAGGTGATGGAACCTTTAGGAAGTGGAGCTTAGTGAAAGGAAGTTAGGTCACTGTGTATGTGCCCTTGAAGAGAATATTAGGACCCCAGTCCCTCCTCATTCTCTTTGCTTCCCAGTCATCATGAGGTAAACAGATTTGCTCTACCATATGCTCTCTGACATGATATTCTTCCTCATCACAAGTCCAAAAGCAACATAGTTGCTAACCATGGAAACCTCTGAAAATGCAAGCCAAAATAAGCCTTTCTTCCTCAGTTGTTTATCTCAGGTATTTCATTATAGTAACAGAAAGCTGACTTTGTCATCCTCCTTGTCTCTCCAGGAATAGGATGTTAGAATCTAGGCTGCCTAGTAAAAATACCTGTAAAACTGTTGCCTCAGCTTTGACTTATAAATTCTTCCTGTTTAGAAGCCAACTCAGAGGATTCTCTCCCTCCTGACCTCATGTAGTGGGCTAGGTAATCCTCCTGTGAGAATATTACCTCCAGTGAACTCTCCTGGTAGGTGTTGTTGGAGCATCTAATGGATAAAGGACATTTTTATCAGATTTACAGACAGACCGAAGGACTGTATTTGTGTCTGCTTGCTACTAAATGAATAAATATGTTGTAAAATTTAGCCCCAACCTGCATTCAGCCTGGTCTCACCCTCCCCTCCCACCACCTCCTCACTCTCTAACCCTGAATGGGTATGCCCTGCCTGCCACTCCCAGCCTCAAGGAACACTTCAGATCTCTTCTTGCATGCCATTTTCTCTGGAAGTGTTTCCTCATTCCTTAAGATAACGCTTCCTGTTTTGTAGTTCTATAACCCCTCTTCTCGCAGACTACCTGCCACAATTCCTTAGTGCTTGATTCGTTTTGTGTTCTAGCCAGTCTGAGGGCAGGGATCAGGTTCATCCTATTCTGTTTTCTTCCCAAAACGTGTTCTAGTGTCTGGGCCCCTCAAGAAATCAATTTTATCCCTTTCTGTCCTGTGCTCCTCGTAGATTGTTACACGCACCTCCATGAGCATGTTTGTTTTCTCAGCATACTAGATAATGAAGTATGTATGGTTTAAGTCCAGAAATTAATGATAAAGAAGTGCAGGCTGTGCAGAGATCTCCTTCTAGGGCATCTAAGAAAGGCCTCTGATTTTAGAACTGGCCTCTTCTTTCCAGGGTGCCAAGTTCATGGTGAGGCTGATTGAGAAACAGAGCATGAGTCCTAATGGGGCAAGGACAAGGATTGCTGAGATCAGTGCCTTTGTAAGCCCATCCTTAGATCCCAGAACAGCTTTCTTTTATGAAGAGGGAAGTGGAGGTAGTGCAAGAATCGGTTGGCCGTGCTCTAGTTGGATTCAGGGCCTTCAGCAACTAATTTTGAAAACAAATGGAGTCCTGTTAACCTGCAAAGACTGGGCCACAGGTACTGCTGTGCACAAAGCTGCAATCATTGGCAATGGTTTCATCTTAAAAAGTCACACTACAACCTTTGGCAAGTCAACAGGGGGGACCCACCAGAGTCCCTATCCCAGGCCTTTGTATTTTACTCTCTCCAGACAATAAAGCCCTGAATACTACCACTATTCTTCCTATGAAAAATCTAGTTCAGTAAGTATTAAAAGTTAGACCATGAAAAAAATTAAACTATGATTGTTGTGTATTTTTAAATTGCATTGAAGCAGCCTGAATAGCTTTTACTTTCTTGTTGGCATATGGCTAGTCGGCTGTTTTCTCAGTCACACGTGCCTAATAACCTTTGACACCCAATTAAAAGTTGCTTCCAATTAGCTCAGTGTCACATCCATTCTAATTTGTTTTCT